TGTGTAAGAATATCCACTACTAGGAGATGAGTAACAGCGTCTTCCTGATAATTACTCAAAATAAAAATAAACTGAGATTGCCAACCCTTCTGCCAAGCATGGCAACTATGGCTAAATCGCTATCCCTATGAGGTAATCTATGAGGGAGGCCTATGTTCAGCCACGCATTAAGATAACTCAATTCAACGATATAATCTGTGAAAGAATAAAATGAATGCCTCACATCTCTCCCATTGGCGGTAAACGACATCTTCGTAAGCACGGCCAAACAATGCGACTTCATAGCCGGTAAAGCCATATCCAGATAAGCTATAAGTCGTAGAATGCATCCAGACTGGTATAAATGCGCTGCATTTTCTTCAGTTTCCGCATAATTTCGAAGCACTCTTAGTACTTCAGTATGGACATCGCGGAACTCATACGACTGCAAAAGAGGATTAATTTGCGTGCAATCAATAATCATTTTTAACTTCCTGCTACGAAAATCATTGATTTTCAAAAATGGGGAAGTTATTAGAAAATCGAGTTTTCAAAAAGAGATTTCGTCGTTTCGAGGTTCTAGGAAGCTATTTTTGCGATGATGTATGTCTGTTGTGTGTAAACATGTAAACATCTTATAACTTTGTAACGGAGTGTTCAATCGAAAATCGGTTCGCGGCATCTGAAAGTGAATCGTCACGGTTGATTCTGAGAAAAACTCAAAAATTCGATTTTTTTTTCATGTTTAGAAAGTAGTTTTCTAGGAATTACTTCGACATCCTTGTTTTGATAAATTCTATAATCTAATCAGCTCTCCAACACAAAAAACGGCGCTGATTGCCGTGAACCGCATCAAAATCGGTTGATTATAGGCCGTCAACGTCGTGCAGTCCTCGCCCACGGGGTACAGGGGTGGAGAGGGACGAGGTAGCACGCATCTCGTGCACGAGGCCACGCCCACGGATACACACGTAGGGATTTGGGATCGAGTTATCTTGAGATTAAAATGGATTTATATATATTTATTACGAAGTATTGTGTTATGTAGTGATGAATTCGATATAATATTAAATCACTATATATTATAAAAAAGTCCCTGCCGCGTCTATCTGTATGACAAACTCAAAAACAACTGAACGGATTTTCATGTGGTTTTCTCCAATAGACGGAGTGATTCATGAGGAAGCTTTGCAAAATCTAGTACAAGTATAAAATGTAATGCACGCCGAAAGTAAAAGGAAAGGAGAACGAAAATTGGGAAAATAAAAGATTAATCACAGAATAATAATAATAATAATATTTATTCTAAATAAGAAAGTAATTTAATATTGTTACACTCATATTTATACCGAAAACTAATTATCATCACAATCCATATCTATTTCCTCATCATCGTCGTGGTCATAATCTGTGTCCGTGTCTTCACCTAAGTTAATAATCAACCTGCGAACAAACAATATTTCAGTTAATTATAAGTGTTAAAGTACGTGTATGTTAAAAAGGAAGAAGGAAGTGGTGTGCTAGGATCGCGTATCTTGGCGCTCAATTCCCGCTGCCTACCCTGCATGGGAAAGCGTGATGTAATGTAATATCGAAAAACATACCAACCTGTCAATTTCGTCGTCGAACACTCTGTCTGTCTCCATAATAATCTAGTTCATCCTTTATGACGTGGTCGTCGCATTTAAACCATTTTTCAGCCGAATAATTAGTAAAGAGTGAAATTAGCACTTCCTTCTTTTTATCTAAATTTGAATCAATGGCTGTCCTAGCTAATTCACCTTTGAGGTCTCCCCAAACTAATTCTATAGGGTTGAGGTTCGGGTGGTACGGTGGAAGGCGTAGAACGGTATGTCCTTCCGCCTTAATGATTTCATCGATCCGGTATTGCTTCTCAACATTCTGTTGATTTATTGAGTTCATAAGGTTACATTTGCGTGCAGATTCGTCAAATGGAACATTTTTTCGCGTCAACCATTCCTGCATGTGGCTCTTAACAGAGCTCATAGTAGGTTTCCTATCGATTTGGGTGCTGTGGTATGCCGCATTATCCATAACAACGACCGAGTTCTACGGAATATTTGGCAGAAGGTTTTTAGTTGCCCGTTTTTGGAAGTTCACGGCATTCATTTCACCGTGGTAGTCCCCAGTCTTCGAATGGGACTTGAAGATAAGTAAAGTATTATACACAAATCCATCACGGCTTCCAGCATGCACACAGCAGGTCCCTCCCGTTTGTAGCACCACGTTCTTCTTTAGATTGCCAACATTTTCGTAAATTATGTGCCTAGTTGACATATGTTTCATCAAAAAAAATTATTGGCCTTCCATCGGCTCGATATTTTTTTATGTCTCGAATATAATACCATCTGGTTACGCGGAAAACGATTAGTGTATTTTAATTTTATTCGAGGGTATATTGTGCCAAGTGTCCTTCCTTCGACCTATCCCTTCCGTACACACTGAGAGGGGGGGGGTAAGAGGGGAAAGAAGAGATTCTAGAAGATGGCGTGATTCTTTCGACCAATGAGAAGCGCGCCCGACCGAGATGCATTGATAGGAAGGCCGAAGCAATATAAGCTAGCGCGCTGCCCTCGAGTGGCCTCTTGCCTTCGCGCCGCTAGTCCAAACCGCACCTGGAGCAGTCGAGCTCCAGAAGTAACCGCCTCACATAGTGTGAGATATCGTCGCGTACCGCTCTCTTCCTTCGCATCACCGGCCAGGACCGCATCCCTGGGGCGCCCCAGGAGACCCACCAGAAGTCGCACCACAGCAACGGAAGCGCCTAAGCCGCATCGAAGTCACACCCCGGTAAGTGTGTTTTTTCCTATAATTCAATGCCTGCTTGAGTATTTGTTTGTTAGCTAACCCGCCCCATTTCATTCCTCCTAATGTGCTCAAACAGGATTCCTTCATAACCTTGGCAAACAATAGATTTCGGAAGAGCGAGTGCATTGTCAAGGAACCACGTGCCACAACCGCCATCTTGTTGAGGCAGAAGAAGCCTACCGCGTATACAGTCCATCTAGTATAACATCTCGCATAATAGGGTCAAGGCTCGACCGGGGAATCGGACTCGGGAACCTTAAGGTCATGCGGTCAACCACCATCTTAGAGCCATAATATCGGGTCGCTCGATTATTAATTTTCTTTTCGATTGGCAGCTTAGAAATCGAAATCCCAATTCGCGAAGAATCTTTCTTAAATGCTCATGTGAGCATTGTATGATGTTCTTTTTTTCATTCGCTGTGTTTGCTTAAACTTGGAATATTTTATTTTACACTGTAGTCCTGAGACACTTTACGTCGTAGTACTCCTAAAGTAAAACTATGTACTTCAATTTGCTTTTCGGGAAACAAATTTTTTCTGGGAGATTTAAATTTGGAAGGTCCTGCAGTGTCATCCATCGTAGTTTTTTACTGACTATTCTTCTTATTGTTCTTTCCGCGAGCCCTGTTGCTACAGACACGGTTTTTGCCAAACTAATATCGTTCTGGTATTCTTGCGATGATTTATCTTTCTTACGCTCTTTAAAATACATGTATACGTTATACACAATTTCTTTTGATTGTCGTCCAATCGGTTTGCTCATCTTCGGATCGTAATCTCGTGTGCGTCTATTATACAAGTAACCTAACGTTGCAAGCGACCACCGGCGAGTGGCGCTCTTATCCTGAGTACGCGGCGTGCTCGCTCGCCCTCCCGCATACCGCTCGCTTCCCCTTTGAGACCGTTTTACCTCGTCCTTGCCAACCCCTGTAGCCCCGCGGGCCCGGACTGCATGAAGTTGACAGCCTATAGTTCGAGAGATATCGTTGTCGAAAGAAATCTCGAAAAAGTGTTTTTTCGAAATACCTAACTTGAAAACCTTCCGTGAAATAATATTTTTTGTAACAAGCTTTTTTGTAAAGTTGAAAAATTTATGTCGGTTGCCGTTAATCATAGCAAAATCGGTAGATTTGTTCGTGAAATATTCAATTTTGAAAAAAATATAAAAAAACGTGATTTTACAAAATTGTGACGTTTTTGAGTTCTTCGAGATAATAAGTGGAATTAGGGGCGCTTTGATATTGAAATTTGCGAGAAGTTCCAGGGATAGCCCGCAGGGTCAACAATTTCTTTTTAAATGAAAGCGAGTACGTGACTACTATCACGCCTGTTGGTAAAGTAGTGATGCGTTCGAAGATGGTAAAATGCTGATTGATTAGCTGATTTAGCTTAACAAAAGCTTATTCACTCTTACCTTGAAGACACCTACCTTGTAATTGGATACGAGTATTTCTTATTATTATAATGCACCTTTAAAAGACCCTTGGTAGACATTAGTCTGTTCCGTGGGGTCTCGAGATATGATATCACGTTTATCTTACAAAATAATTTTAATAATATTTAGGACAGTTGACCACAAAACCAACAAAATTATCAAAATTGTTAAAGTAACCACTAAACTTTTAGATATTAAACATTCCGAGTAAAATAATGAGGTCCTCTAACACACACCTAAATAATATGGCAACGCTCTATATTGCCATAAAGACGCTAGCAGTGGTGTAACAAATTTTAGGGGTCTGTTTTTTGCGAATGAATGGTTTTCCTAGAAAGGCCTTTATCTATAAATGCCATTTTAAATCTTTGAAAAGACTCGTCCGGTTTTATAACGACATTTGATAATTGATACCTAAAAAAAATATTCGTGCGAAAAATTTCCTAATGCAGATCATTTTTCAATGAAACATGATTTTTCAATTATTTGCTCGTAGAAATGTGAAGGAAAATTTAAAATCGGTATATATTTTTATATGTATTTAATCATATTTTCACTATAAATTATAACTGGCTAACTAGCTAACTCTCATACAAACTACCTACTTCTTTTCTTTGTTTTGTCTGTTTTTTTAATCGCGAGGAAACTTGTAAACCAAAGAAATAAAAACACGCTCAGAAATAAGAAACTTACTGCCTTCATCATTAGGACGTATTAAGCATAATTTTTTTTAAAGAACTTAACGTAATATAAATGTTTATAGACTGACCTCCAAAATATCACACAGGTCCAGTACTCCCGTTGAGGCTCTAAAACTCTTCTGTACCGCACTATCCTTATATCGGCAGATCAGTTGGTCTACTGTCTTGAGCGCTGCGTGCTGTATAGCGAGGTATTTGCTCTGCATCAGCGCCAGCAGTGAAGACCAGTTGAACTGATTGCTTCTTGTCACTTCAGAAGCGCTCACCGGGTCGGCAAGTAGATTGCTGAGAGTCTATTGTAATGTTTTAATAAATTCATTAGAACTCCTACGAAGATTACCACGAGAGTAATCACTCAGTCACTTTCGTCTTACGCCCGTTAAGTAGCAGTAAATGCACCACTGTATTTCAAAGATATAGAGATCCGATATAAATACAGGCTGAGAGCCATTCCAGCTTTGTCCTGAGAGGTGAAAACGCTAGCCTTCTTTATTAAATGTTGTTTGCAGATGTCCATGGGTCGCAGCAGCCACTTTACCAGTCGGTGGACTGTAAGTCACTTGACACTTCATTTCCGACCTCGTAAGGGGAAACCTTCAACTATATCGTCCGTTGGGTGACGTATTAAGTCAAATAAAATAATGTGTGAGAGATTCTGTAGCTTACCGTTATTACCAAAATATAATCATCTCGAACTTACGATAGGTGTTTACAGAAAGTGTTACCAGAGGAATATTTCAAGATATTGTCTCTTTACGGACTGATAAGGCAGAGAATATTATACTTACAGTAATATCAGATGGCTCGAAATGAAATGAAATCTCTACATTTTCGACTTGTTTTCTTTTAAAATTCATTTGCGACCGTTTCAAACAATGAGATCCCTTTGCCCGTAGAAGAAACTCTTTAAGTAGCATCTCGTCAAGTCTTTAAAGGCACTGGTGATACCAGCGAATTAAAATATCCGACGGTATACAGTGTAGGGAGACCCCCTAATAGACGGAGTGACGGCGGAAATCAATAGATGGTGGTGGCACAGGATTGTACTTTGTGGCATTACTTGGGGGTCTAAGTTCAACAGTTAGCTTTTGAAGGACTATAACGATGATGCTAGTTGCAATTAATGATAATTGCAGGACATTTATTATTAACTTTATTGAAAAGAACTAGGTCTAATTTATCATTTTTTATATTAGTTATTTTAATTTTTGTACAAATTTTACTTTTAATTTTATAATGTGCTGTTGCTTGAACTTTATATATTTTACAAGAAATGAAAAAAGATTGGTTGCCTATAAAAAAGGGTGTGTGTGATTCATTATGGCAGTGTGACCATTTGTTGAATTTTTGTAAATTCGCGTTTTTCTGTTACAAACAAAAAAAGACCAATGAAGACTTACTAAAACTTTAAAATTTATACCTGCAGACAATTATTCTGAACATCAGGATCTGTACTGTTTTTCATTCGAGAAAATAAAGTATTCAGAATGTTCGCCGAGACCAGCTGTTCGCAGCCTAGAGGCTCCTTCGTTAGTTCCGATAATACTAAAGAAGCAAATTCTAAGACGAATACATCTTCAATCTGCAAAAGTACAGAAATAAATTCTACAATGTAAATACTTGGAATATTTTATCATACGTAATCCTACACCACACTAAAACTTTCTTCTGTGCCGTGAATGCGTTTTATGCCTAGCCACTTAAATTGTATACGGACAAACATCCAGACCCGCCAGAAATCGATGGATGCAGGTGACTCAGAACCATGTTCTATGAGTCATTAGGGGAGGCCTTCGATCAGCAATGGACTAGTAATGTGCTTTAATGGTAATGGAATTTGTAAACCTTCTTTGCCAAATATGTCAAATAAACCAAACTCGCAACTGCCAGATAACAAACTAAGCTCCTATATTTGCATTATATTGTTTGATATTTAATACCGAAGAAGCTAGTCCCATGTTTATGTAGCTTATGTATTTGGTATATTTGGTTAGGTTTATCATTGTGTAGGCGATGTGCTAGCCACTTAACCCTTCTTTCACATTTTTACCGACTTGAAAAATGAGGAGGTATTCAATTCAACTGTATGTTTTTTTTATGTCTTACCTCATAACTTTTCTCTAGGTGAATCGATTTTGATGATTCTTATTTTATCTAAAAGCTGGTGCTTCTCGTGTGATTCCATATAAATTTAATAATTAATCAAGATCTGACCAGTAGTTTTTGAGTTATCTTTAATACTTCAATAATTAACTTCGAATACATTAATGACGTTCTGATTTTAATTATATGTAGTACCCGGATGACCGAGCTTTGCTCGGTTTTTTTAATTACATTTCGATACAAATTACATGAATAATATTTTTTGATCTTATTGACATAATAGAAAAAACTGAACTGGTTATTTGAAGCAAAATCATGGGTGCAATTAGTTTAATTAAAATTGTCGTATTTTTAAAAAATACTAAAAAAGGGTTCGAAATAATAGATTTTCTCACAAAAGAAGGCAACTTGAAAAAAAAGGAAAATAAGTCAGACCGAAGACAGGACGCAAACCAAGGCATTACGATTTCGCGACCGCTCAATATCCACTTGAGCTATTACGATCATTAATACAGTGTCAAAATTTACCTTCTTATATTGTAGCAGTTTTTCATTGCCTGAAAACACGGACAAAAAGACATTTTCTAAAAATAAATCCTAGCTAGATCGATTTATGGCCCCCGAAACTCCCAGGACACTAAATTTTATGAAAATCGGAGCCGTTTCCGAGATTCCGATTATATATATACAAGAATTGCTCGTTTATATATACATATACATATATATACACATATATATATATATATATATATATATATTGAAGTCTGAACTTCTTTATGACTGAACGCAGTCCGAGTAGCTCGTTGCTCTTTGAATTCTGCCTACCTCCTCGAAGATCACAGGCATTAAGCTATGTACTCGTACTTAGGTACCGAAGACAGATAACAGTAACTGGATGTGGCAAATAGTGCGACGGTATCGGTTCTGCGTTCCGAACTTACCCGCCCAGCATGATCGTATAGACGGATCCTTATAACTTATTCTTGAAAAGCGTTATTTATTGTAGTATGTTGGACAAATTACTTTCTCCTTACTTTTTATACGTGGTAGAGCCACGCTGCAGCTATATTATAGTTGTAGCACAAATGGGTCGGCTCGATCAGAGAAGGACAATGCTCTCACAGAATACCAGCGTAAAATAGAAGCTTAATACTGCTGTGTTTCGTATGGTTAGTGTAGAAATACGGAGACCCTTTTTTACTGGTTACGAGGCATTCCGTCTTAGTCCTCAGGGGTGACAACACACCTGCATTTTGATTCTCGAGGATAAACGAAGAAGTCTATGGGCCACAGCATCCACTTACCATCAGGTGGACTGTGTGCTCATTTGTCGCCCTTATTCCATAAAAAAACTAACAAATGAGTCGCAGGCAATCTGCTGATTTCAAAAAAGAGTACCTCCTTATTTTTCATCAGTCGAACCGAATATATATTTTTTATAATATTAAAGTGAGGAACGAACTTGCAGTCCACCTGATGGTAAGTGGCTACTGTTGCCAATAGACGCCTGCAACCAACCTTAAACTTAACCAGTCACTTCCGTGGAATAAGATGGAATGCCTCAGCTGTAATTATTTTAGATATCTTTACTGAGTATCGATGATGAGATGGAGTGACGACCTAGAAAGACATGCAAGCAGTCAATGGATGCTGATGGCTCAGAACCATGCTTTGTGGCATTCCTTGGGGGAGATTTACGTTCAGCTGTGGACTTTTGAAGGGCTGTAATGATGATGATATTTTTACCCCTCACACCACAACACAGTAGTGCCGGTATGCGTGAAAAAAAATTGGTAAAAGAATGGTACCTAGGAAAAATGGTTCACCAAGTGTAAAGAATTTAGTTTTAATCATCCTTACTTTGACAAGCATATTGGCGATTTTCTTTAAATTCTGCGGATTTAGCAGCACTTGCTCAGGTCCACGTGGCAGCTGGCACAACTGTGCCAGGGCTTTCAGTGCGAATCGCCTGATGTTAAATTCATTGTGTTCAATGTGAGGGAGAATATAACGTATTGCCTCCAGGTCAAATAACAATTGACGATTTTGAAAGTCTTGCGAAGAGAACTTCGTTATTGCCCGAAGCGTCTAGTAAACAAAACCTTTTTTATCAAATAGTAAAAGCAAGCTGTGAAAAAATATTAGGGTAGCTCAGAGTAGCCGTAGTAGTTTGTGGGTGAAGCGCCGGCTGTAAATCACACAGTACGCAAACACCAGTTCGATCCCCACTGAAACCAATGGAATTGTTTTTTGTTTTAAATTGTATGGGCTCATTTACCACATAATTTTAACATCATGAGGAAATCTGTGTGTCTGAGGAATCCGCCAACATCCTCTATTAGGGCGGTATGACGGACTATTTTCTCCATCACCCTCTCAGAAATGAGAACGTCTTTGCCCAGCAATGTGATGTATGTAGAATGTAAGTTTTTTTTACTTTTTAAGACAGTGCTAAATTACAATCCCATTTGGTGATAAGTGGTGATGGTTTTGATTTACCTTCAACTAGTTAATAGTCTAAAGTAAATCAAAACCATATCGTCCCTTGGGTGTCGTAAGAGGCGACAGAGGAAAATTAAAACGGAAGATGGGCAGCAGCGTATTCCTGATAATAACTCAAAATAATAAAAAACGGTGGTTGCCAACCCGCCCGCCACGCGTGGCAACTATGGCAAGAGACTCTTATGTTCAGCAGTGGACTTTTGTAGGCTGTAATGGAAGGTTATAGTCATGAAATTATTGTATTATCATCGTTTTTTTCATTAACATACATAACATACATAAACACTCACGCCTGTCACCTAGAGGGGTAGGCAGAGACTACAGACTTCCATTTGGCACGATCCTGACACACCTCTCTCGCCTCCTTCACATCCATACACCTACGCATACATGCTCGTCGGTTAAGGGTACTCCTAATTTGGCCCGTTTTCAATAAATCGCCAATTTGGTCGATAAATTTTCGCCTAGGACGTCCCTTTCCGACTCTGCCATTCACTTCTGCAACATAAATTTTCTTTGTCACTCTTTCCTCATTCATTCTTTCGACATGACCAAACCACCGAAGCATTACTTTCTTAATCCTGGTCAAAACATCATCTTGCAAACCACACTCTTCTCTTATTACACAATTTCTTACCCTGTCGTTCAGATTCAGCCCTAATATACTCCTTAGGGACCACATTTCTACTGCGTTGATTCTACTCTCATGCTTCTTCTGCCACACCCAACTTTCACTACCATACGTTAAAGTAGGGACCAACACAGCATTGTGAATTGCCATACGTGCCTTTTTTGACACATTTTGACTCTTTACAATAGAGTGCAGGGCCCCATTTACTCTATTTCCCGCATTCACTCGTCGTTCTATATCCTTATCATATCTCCCATCCCTGCTAAATACGCAGCCCAAATATACAAACTCATCTACTTGCTCGATCAACTCCCCTTCTATTCTTATTTCACAAATCGTTTTACTTTCTTCTCTTTCAAAAACCATAACCTTCGTCTTACTTGCGTTCACTTTCATACCCCTTTCTTTTAATGATCTGTTCATTAATGTAACCATCATTTGCAACTCGGCCGCCGACGACGCAAGGATAACTTGATCATCGGCGTACAAAAGGCATTTGACGGTTAACTCACCCATTCTTAATCCGCATTCTTCAACTTTCAAATTTTGCAAACAACTGTCCATTAATAGGTTGAACAGCCACGAGGAAGCCACACAGCCCTGTCTGACACCTTTATGGATGTCAAACCAGTCCGAGTAGACCCCGTTGATCCTAACACAAGCACTAGAGTCCCTATAAAGAGACTCCAATGCCTGTATCAAGCCAACGCTCAACCCAAATGAGTTCAGTGTTTGCCATAGCACATCCCTATCCACTCTGTCATAGGCCTTTTCCAAGTCCATGAACGCACAAAAAACCTTTTGGTTTTTGGCCAAAAACTTCTCCGCGATCATGCGGAGATTTTTCATTAAAAAGGAAACGTGTGAAAACTGAATTATTAAATGTATAATACATTTATAAATACAGACATATACATATAGGTCTAGGTAATAAAAGCATGTTAAAAGTCTGAAGATGATATCGTGGTCACGTGACACATCTAAAGATCAGGCATCATGATTATTATATTTTAAGAAAGCAAGATTAGTTACTTGACATAGTATTTCTGGCTCCGGTGATTCCAGAAGCAGTACAGCTGTACGGGCAGTTTCCGGCGTAATGTTATAAGGATGAAACGTTAAATCTTTTTTATCGGCAGATCTATTCTCTCTGTCTTTTTGCAATGGTTTCGCCATTTCGTCTACAAGTAAAAATTATTATTTTATAAATATTTCCTAATAAACTTCCGAAAAAACGTTTTCTATTTTTCAAATAATAACTTTTGACGTTTGAAATGACAGTCATAGTCATATTATTTGAGAACAAAGTTATGAATAACGTCAAACATTATAGTTTGTAAAGCGTACCAAATTTTTGCTAGGACTAAGTTTCTACTATTATATTCATAGAATACTATGTATTATATTATTCTATGGCTATATTAGTACACTTTTTTTAGATTGTAGGTCTATATCAACACCACTATAATTTTAATTTTAGAACTATTTATAACTACTGTCTGTGTACCTTATTCATAAAAAAGAAATAGTGTTTGGATACACCCTTGAGACTTTAATTCATTTGAATAACGTTTTAGATTAGACGACCTACACGACATGATTCGTTTCAACTTTTTTTATAGGAGTAATGGTGACCAACGAGCTCACAGTCATGCTGATGCTAAGCGAATGGTGTGGCCCATAGACACTTAAGAATCAAAGTTCAAATGCGCTGTCACCCCTGAGGTTAAGATGGAATGCCTCGTAACCATTAAAAAGTCTCCAGTTGTCTACACACCATACTAAACAGAAATGTTTCTGGTGACTCAAAAGCTGGCGGATACTTTTTTCAACGGATCAACCTGGCGATATAACGAGGCAACACGTTCAGACTTCTAGGCACGCTAACGACAGACGGAGGCGATTTTTAACTTTATTTATGCCTTTGAGTTGTAGTATGTGTAATTCTGCAAATTCCTTTATTATTTTTACTTGTATAATATAAGGGGTAACTGTTTGTTATTTTTGGTAGCCTACTACTACGTACGGAAGGGTAATTTGGTCATTCGGGTAAAAACACTTTCTTGCAACTCAAAAACTACACAACAACCTCCCGTTTGTCGGCCAATCAAATGATAAAGCGTCAAAAGGGCGATGCTTTATCGACGCCGTTTTGACGGTTGATATGTAGTAAATATTTTAGTATGGTATAGTGTAGGGAGATTTTTTAAGTAGCTTTTTGGAAGGGTTTCTAATTATTGACAAAGCTTGTTTACAATTTTATTCTTAATATATTTGTTATAGTATACGAATTTGTGTTTTTGGCTCTGTCCTTCTCATAGTTTCGGTTTTATAGGGCGGCAAAGCCTAAGGTGATCTCTACGATACTCTACTCTAGGTATCTTACTACTATCTACCACTACTGATCGATAGTAAAATATGACGTTACTGACTACAGTGAAGAAGCACCTGCCATCCGGTGGCAGATGTAGTCGGCGCCCGGGGCTGTTAAAGCTGAAAATGCCGCTTCTCATTGCATCAAATGCCCATCCCCCTACCCTTACATTTTCGCAAGAATCTTAAACAATACAAAATCGCTAAATAATATGGCATCACGACTTGCCGACGTACGTTTCTTTCATATTAGGGTTTAAAGTATGAAATTGCCGTATTATATATTGAAAAATTCAAACACCTTTTTTTCTAGAGAAAGAATATATTTAATACCCTTACATTTTCGCAAGAATCTTAAACAATACGAAATCGCTAATATTAAAATAATAAAGCATCACGACTCGCCGACGTACGCTTTTTTCATATTAAGGTTTCAAGTATGAAATTGCCGTATTATATATAGAAAAATTCAAACACCTTTTTTTCTAGAGAAAGAATATATTTAATTATTCGATGTATTTAAAATCCCTACATTTCTGTACTTGCTGATCTATGCAAGGCAAGCTTTAACGCGTGCTCCATTATATGCACACTGCACTTCACTTAATTCATAAGGCATCCATTTCTTGAGCTTATTATTTCTATAAGTCAATCTTTTATCTAAGATTGTCTTGTATCAATGGTGTGGTAAAAAATGTTCGTTTAAAAATATTTATTATGTAATAATGAAGCCAAAAGCCAAAGAACCGTGATAACTCAGATGGTTAGCGCTCGCTGTAAATTTCACAGTACGCGAGCGAACCGGGTTCGATCTCCGAGGGCACCAATAAAATTGTTGTAATTTAAAGTACTGATTTACCCCGGGCTCGGCGATGAAGGAAAACATCGTGAATAGACCGGCATGTCTGAAAAATAAGAAAAAAATATTTGGATGACTTGTAAAGTTCGCCAACACGCATTGGGGCAGCGCGGCGGACACTTCCTTGCCCTAAAACTTTTATTCATTAATTCATAAATAAAACGTAACTAATTAAAAACTTTTTAGTAAATTGTTAGTACTGGCAATTAATTTCTATTTTTTACGGATTTTGTTTTGTTTTCCAAGAAAGTCACGTATGTCATTTTAACGTAATACAATTTTTAATGTTGATGTACACTTATATATGACCTTTATGCGAAATAAAGGCTTAGTTTTTCGTTACATAGGAATATTCGCAAGGAAATTTAGGTCTTTTCAGGAGACATGGTTACTGCCATGGTGGAGCAGTGCTGGGATGTCTACGGCTCCGCTTTGGGCACTAGACACAGTAGTACTGGTGGTGAAGTTATGTTCAACTATCACTATGGCTGTCGTGAGAATTATAATCCCGCCGGCAATGAAAAGTTTATATGGCGAAACTGTATTGGTTTGTAAATTGTTGATTTTAAGTCTTACAGATAAAAGATTTTATTAAAATCCAAAGGTTCTAAATGCTTAATGTCTTGCGGAAATCTACGATAGCAAACCAGAAAATTTAAATAAGAAAAAGAGTAACGGAGAGAAGGAAAGCGTCTATATCTCAATCTGAGACCACTTATTCTTGAGGGTGTTATATAATAATCTCTATAGTGTTGCTCCTCTGCGCACTGGCAAACATATCACTTATCTTCAAAATATTTTTAACTTTTCAAGCATGTGTTACGATGATGGATATAAAATTAATGAGCGTTAAAACTCCACCACTCGTTGTAGTAGTAAAAAGTACTACGCAGGCAATTGGCTTAGGTCGTTCCACCAGTCTGAGTCATTGTTATTCTACTAATTATTTATTTACAAAAATGCTGCTGAGATGCGATGCATAGTGACGGAGCTATTGATTTGGAATCTTCATTTATTATGGTGATGAAATATTATATTTACTTTTAATGCGTTCCATGAATATTTAATAAAGTTGTTACAAAGATACATTTATTTATTTAAATATTTTTTTATAATAAGGGTGAACACAGAATCAACCTGATGGTAAGTGGATGCTGTGGCCCAGACACCTACATCTATCTTCGGTCAAGAAATAAAATGCGTAGTCACCGCTGAGTACTGAGATGGAACGTCTCATTTCCAGTAAAAAGTTTCACCGGTTCTCTACACTCGCGGTTTACTTTCCTCTGGTCACTCTACTACATAAAGGTATCAAAGCCCAACTACAATGACGAGTTAAAAGAAAATACGTGACGAATGACTTTTGAAAATTAGATATTTAAAGAAACTATAGCTGTCGCTCTGCGAACGCGAGTGCTATAACGAAAACTACAGATCCGACTGAATAGCCTAAGTAAAAAGACATAATTCGATGTTTGGCTCTCTACCACTTCCTCTTCCAATACTGGACCAACTTAAAAGATATTTCATAAAATGAATAAGAATGATATACACTGTATCCCTGTTTTTCTTTATTCTGTATTACTTAGTTATCAAATTTGAACACTAAAGCCTTTGTTGACAGCAGTCTAAATAGGCAATTTTGAGCATTTTGTAAGGGTTCTTATAAAGATAATGTATCATCATAAAGGAAAACATAGGGACATAGAATAGGTTGATATTAAAATTACTTTAAAAATAATTACCAAAAGGGCATAAACGAGCAAGAAAACAGGCGAGAGTGTTTCTATGGAGAAAAGACCATTTGCGTTTCCTCATAACGATTATACAAAATTATTTAAAGATAACCGGCGCTGGTCAAGGATTAGGACGCGAGCTAGCGATTCAGTTCGCGGAGCTGGGCGCCACCGTTATATGCTGGGACATCGATGCGCGTAGAAACAATGCCGTTGTTAATCAGATACGCAGCAAAGACGGCGAGGTACACATGTGTATTATTTTTACTATTATTATATAGAATAAAGGCAAACAAGCATACAGTCTAGCCGATGCTGTGGCGCATAAACCACATCTATCCTCGATTAAGAATAAAAATGCTGATGCGTTGTCACCGCTGAGAACTAAGACGAATGTATCATTTCCAGTAAAAGAGTCTCCGATTCTCTACTCTAACCATACAAAACACAGCAGAATTAAGCTGCTATTTTACGCTGGTGAGCGTGGTCCTTCCCCGGCGAATCGACTCATTCGTGCTATAACTACATATACTATAGCATAACTGTAGCTTGGCTCTACTACAGTAAAATACCATATAGAATAAAATAAAATTAAATTGATAACTGTATTACAAATTTTCAATACATTCATATAGACATAGATGTACCTACCTACCTATCCAGGTCAAGCTGATGAAAAACGAGTAAAAAGTCTCAGAACATGAAGGCGAGCTCTGTGCTCACCAATATAGCTTGAAATTTGAAAACGCCATAAATACTTAACACATGACCTGTTTATTTTTTTCAAATAGCCGTTTCTTTAGTAGTAGTAGTATACAGTTCCCCGATAAAATGTGGATGCCGAGGCGCATATACATCCACATCTCACCTTGCTTAAGAATTAAAATTTCGAAAATATATCCGGGTTATATTTATAAATTTTATTTTGTTGCAATGTTATGTGGGTGGGGTGTTGTATTTGGAATTGATAGAGTATGGAATTTATAGTGTTTTTGTTTTAAATTTCTAGTTGTTTGTAATATTATGTGGGTTGAGTACTTATTTAATTATGTAATAGGATATAAGAGTGCATTTATTCGCCAACAAACTGTCTTTACAGTTTGGCGAAGTTATGAACTTATGTAATGTTTTTTTTCTGTAAATGTCATTAAATTAAAAAAAATGTAGATGCCTTGTTGCAAGTTGGAATGCTTCGTTTCCAGTAATAAGGATCTCCGGTTCTCTACACTCATCATACAAAACACAGCGGTATTAAGCTGCTAGTTCACGCCGGTAGTATAGTTCTGTGATTGCCAAGCATGGTGATATAGGCAAATCTTTCCTCCACTGATGAAACTCATGTCCAGTGATGACATTTACGAGTTGATGATAAAAGGGATTATAATGTGTGTGTTGACTTTTGACCGTGCAGTGTAAGAATACTACTCATTATCGTTCCGTGGGCGTCGTAAGAGGCGACGGAGGGAAATAAACCAGGGATTGGGCAGCAGCTTCTTTCTAATAAAATATAAAAAATAGGTAATAATTTGCGGTTGCCAAACTATCTGCCAAGCGCAGCTACTATGTAAAAATCCTTCCTAAGAGGAAACCTTGAAGGGAGGACTATGATCAGCGCTGGACTTTTATAGGCTGTGGTAGATGGAATGATGAATGTGTGTTTCAGTGCTTCGCCTTCACTATAGACGTGACAGTCCGCGAGCAGGTGTCTACGCTGGCTGCGCGCATGCGCCGGCAGCTGTCTGACGTGTCGATGGTGGTGAGCAACGCGGGTGCCTTCTCCTGCTCGCCTATAACGAGTTACAAGCCTGACGCCATCGCCAAGATTATTGAGATCAATTTAATGGCGCATTTTTGGGTAACCTATCAATTTTTTATCTGAAAATAATAATAATCATCGATACATGCCTCCGCGAACATAGTAGATGCACTATAGTAACGAGCTGGTCCCAACAAAATACTAAACGCATTGTTATATTGCACGCGCAGTGCACTGTACGTCCGCTGCGTGTACCCAACCCACGTGCTACACGTATAAAAAGTTTGACAGAATTCTTTGAAAAGCATTATTTTTACCTGTCTTGACTGTCCAACGTGCCGGAGGCGAAAGACATATTCCGACAGGTACACACTGTGTGCGGCCTGTCGAGAGTCAAAGTCGAAGCCCCCTATAGGCGCGGTTTTCCGGCGCAGTGCCACCGCTGCCAACTCTACGGGCATGCGGCGGCCAACTGCTCAGCCTCTCCCAGGTGCGTTAAGTGCCTAGACCCGCACAGCTCGAAAGAGTGTCCTCGGCCCCGTGATACCGAACACCCACCCGCTTGCGTCCTTTGCGGACAGACTGGCCATACGGCCAACTTCAGAGGCTGCCCTCGCGCGCCTCGCCCCAATCTCGACAACAAAGCTGCCAAAAAAGCACCGCCACCGGTCAATGACCGTACATTCCCGGCTCTCCTATCCAAAATGCCCCTTCAGGGCAACTCTCAGTCACCTCAGGACTTAATCGGCCCCCTCAGGAACCCTACAGGCCTCCTCACCTTCGCCCACTAGGGCCCCAACATCAGGCGGAACCCTCTTACGCCGATAACGTAGATACAGTATACACTGCTATCCGCAATATCGACGTAAGAGAGATCGCAATTTTAGCACGCAAACTGTGCGCTTCCCAGTCCCCTCAGGACCGTCTGCTCGCGCTTACCGAGCACCAACACCTTCTAAACTCAATATAATTAGTCATCCCATTCGTAAGCTGCCTTAATTAGGCAGTAATTCTTCCCAGCGGCTACTCGCCGCTAGCGCCCCCCTTTCACCCAAAGGGGGTCGCGTTCGATACGGCTTAAAGATCTCTAGCTATATTGTTAAGCCAGTCCCTAAAGGCGGTGTTTAGTGGGTAAAAGTCTCCACATAACCACGCAGCCGGCTGCGTGGTATGCTATGAGCATTCACCGCCTCCCTCCCCCGCTTTCCGGAGGGTTGCCCATATTGCTTTGGGCGCAAAAAAAAATTAAAAAACTGTTTTGACTCTTGAGAGGACTTAGCGAATCTGCGAGTCAGCATGTTGCAACGTACTGCCAGTTCTCTGCGTTCTCTCTCAATATCGCAGTCATCGCTCATGTTTTCAGTGAGCCAGTGCGCCAGATACTTAAACTGAGGTACATACATTTTATTTTTCAATTTTACATAAAATTGCCAACACAGTATACGGAAGTATTAATGTATGCTTTTTAGCTCTTTGAAGTCTGCCCTAGCTTTTCATTAAAAGATTGTTTTTGGACACTTTTTGAGTGGAATAAGAAATATCAAAAGCTCAAATGTCGTCTGAATTGTCACGCGATTTTTTTTTTCAATTTATGATATCAGAGTGGCCAACTGGCTCCTGATAGAAAGAGTCTATACTACGGCTACCGAGAAGCGATACCAAATATAAATAAAACCAATGCAAGGTTATTAGGAATAGCAGGGGTCAATCAATCTTTTTGATAGATTATATATTTAAGTAGACAATATAGTTTTAAAAAATGTCTAACAAACCAAAAAATAGACTTTAAAAACTTTGTTATAATTTGAATTATTGTATAATGTAGATTCAAATTAAATAAATGCTTTCTGCGCCATCTCTTTTCTGTATGGGTATTTATCATTAGGCCAAGTTTCTTTAACATATTTGTAGCTATTAATAACTATATTTTTTTCATTCTCAGTAAAACTTGTCGCCTAAATTAAAAATTAAATCAAAATGATATACATATACTTTACTTACATGCATCTTTAATAAATTAAGAAAAGTTTTATTATTACAGTTGCTGTTTTGTAAATAACTTTAAGATAACTTTAAAGTACACTCCGAACCAAGAAGTTTTAATTAAAACTACTAAACAACATTCATATATATCCTATTCCTATACATACCTTTGGACATTGATTTATATATTAAGTACACTAGATCAGTAATAACCGCGCCAAAGCGTTGCCACTGCACATATGGCCACAGCCATATGCCTAGCAAACGTCAGTTCAGTTAATGGTAAATGCATAGTGAAAGAATGCTACTCAAGGTCACAAAAACGTAATAAATCAAGCGGAATCACTTTCAATACATAATTTTTAGGTCTTGTTTTCATATAAACGTAAAAAACCTCAAATAATTAAATAAAATTAACGAATATTGCCATTTAGGTTCAATGTTGCCACTTTTCCGCATTTGTGATTATCCTACATTAATGGGAAACTATATAATTAATGGAGTAAGTTTTATTGTTACCTCTGATTTGAAATATTTTGGAAATCATAATAAAAACTACGTTTTAACTTTCATACAAAATAATTAATTATTCTTATTTTAGTTTATTAATGAATTATCTATTAAATATATTTTAATACCTATTTTATTAAAAAAAAATTATATTAATTATAATTTCATATAAATTTTATATTAGTTATATTTTATTACCTATTTTATGTTTTTTACTAACAAATATTAGTACAATAAAAATACTTATAAAAATATATTTTATTTCATCATTATGTTTACTTCTATTCATCTGATATGCTGTGTATCCTTTTTTTCTAAGGGGACGCAATAAGGATTTTAAAATAAAATACATATGCTTTTTAATATAAAAACAACTCATTTTTATTGTGTATTTTAGATAAAATTTCATACCACCCCGCCCACAGCCACACCTTCCCCCCATTGCATGTTTGTGTGTCTATCTTTATCTAATCTTAGCGACGATATTGTTTTCGCAACTTGTGTAAGTGAGATAGATATATCCTATACCTTTAAACGAGCAATTCTTATATATATAATCGGAATCTCGCAAACGGCTCCAACGATTTTCATAAACTTTAGTGTCCAGGGAGTTTCGGGGGTAATAAATCGATCTAGCTAGGATTTATTTTTAGAAAATGTCTTTTTGTCCGTGTTTTCAGGCAATGAAAAACTGCTACAATATAAGAAGGTAATAGCTTACATGGATATCGAGCGGTCGCGAAATCTTAATGCGTTGGTTCGCGTCCTGTCTTCGGTCCGAATTTTTTCCCTTTTTTTTCAAGTTCCCTTCTTTTGTGAGAAAATCTATTATTTTGAGCCCTTTTTTTTAGTATTTTTTAAAAATACGAAAATTTGAATTAAACTAATTGCACTCATGATTTTTTATTCAAATAACCGTTCAGTTTTTTCCATTATGTCAATAAGATCAAAAAATTATTATTGATCAGTATGTAATTTGTATCTAAATGTAATTTCAAAAAAAAAAACAGAACAAAGCTCAGTCATCCGGGTACTGTTTATTTAAAATGTTTAGTAAGTTCAAAGCTACGTCGTCGCGTTTGGATAGTGGATACACTTTTTTCGAAGCGCGGTAATGTGGTTTGCTCCTCTAGTGATGCATAACTCAATGCCTTTGGATGTTTCTTTTTCGGAAGTAAAATCTGTTGATTTATTTCTCGACGTACTTAGTTGTGGCTCCATCATTAACCACTCTTAATAAAAACAATTATCAACAAAACAAAATAACAATGATTAAATAAACAACAATTACTAAAATGGCCTCTCGAATGTTGGCGAACCCGTCTTGACCCTGACATGTTTTTGCCGGAAAAACGATGCATTACGACAAATACACAAGATGGAAAGTGATAGATAATAGATTGTCAACTCCACAGTCGTTTGTAAGGTAAATGACCTTTCGTATCGCTGCTAGTTAGCCGTACTATAGTGCAGCCAATGGACAACAAACAAGCATTCAGCTTCAAAGTAGACCACAGTTGCGTTATCACACCTATGCACAAGATGAAATGTTTTACAGGCTGTAATAATCCTCTTTGGTCCTAGATACCGAAACTTGATGAATTTTCATCACTATAAATACCATAACATACATACATAAACACTCACGCCTGTCACCCAGAGGGTTAGGTAGAGACTAAAGACTTCCATTTGCCATGATCCTGACACACCTCTAGCCTCCTCCATATCCATATACCTACGCAAACATGCTCGTCGGTTATGGTTACTCTGAATTTGGCCCATTTTCAATATATCGCCAATTAGGTCGATAAACTTTCACCTGGGCGAGCTGGTTGGCAACAGCGGTTTTTTTGTTGTACAATTTCTGTTACCAGGAAGATGCTGTTGCAAATCTCCTGCCTGTTTCCCTCTGTCGCCCTTTACGACACACACGGGAAGATATGGGGTAGTGGATATTCTTAACCGCCACCACTACACGGCAAGTCTGTTCTCAAGTCAGGCCTTTTTTTATACGATAGGGTGACAAACGAGCACACAGTCCACCTGATGCTAAGTGGTTGCTGCGGCCCATAGACATCTACATCTATCCCCGATTACAAATCAAAATGCAGATGCGTTGTCACTCATGAGGACTAAGATGGAATGCCTCGTTTCCAGTAAAAAGGGTCTCCGGTTCTCTACACTCACTATACGAAACACAGCAGCATTAAGCTACTATTTCACGCTGGTTTTCTATGAGAGCGTGGTCCTTCCCCGGTCGAGCCAACCCATTCATGCTACAATTATACTACTAATATAACTGCAGCATGGCTCTACCACGTATTACTTTTGCTTGAATTTTCTCCGCAAAAGGGAGTCCGTTTAATCTAACTCCTACTTTCCGAGGTACATCTGTGGAGGTTACTGATCATCTCGAGCTTCTCGGCATATAGTTGAGTGCTAACCTTAACTTTGGCGCCAAAATTCAGTGGAAAGCACAAACTGCCGACTAAAAACTGGATATTCTAAACAAGGTGAAGCGATACTTCACGCCTGGGCAGCTTCTAACTTTATACAAAGCTAAAGTCCAAACAGCCATGGAGTATTGTAGTCACCTTTGGGACGGCTCAGCAAAATATCAACATGCCGCACTCGACTTAGTGGAAAGCAGATCCAAGAGGTTTATCGGCGACAAAAAGCTGGTGGAAACTAAGCTTCACAGCTTAGGTCATCACCGCCAAGTTACTTTTTTGTCGGTCTTTTACAGATTGTACTTCGGAGAGTGTGCCCTTGAGCTTCATAAGCTCATACCGTCATCTCCATTCTCCTATCGGAATACGAGTCTTACTGCAGGTTACCACCGAGTCCGAGTGCATATTAACCTTAATGTCTAGTTTAATAATAAAAAGAACAGTGCACGTACTGCTACTTGGCGGTAAAATATGTAAAAAAGCGTAGCCTCACAAGACAGAAAAGGAGTCCTTAGTAAGTTATAATACTGCCAAACCACCTAGTTGCCAAATCTCATAGTTTTTAAAATAATTACAATAACTCGCTATATTACAGATTATCCAAGCATTCTTACCGAACATGATCGAAAAGAGGCACGGACACATCGTAGCCATTAATTCGAGTGCAGGTCTCCTTCCATGTGCGGACATGGTGCCGTATTGCGCCGCCAAGTTTGGCCTCCGAGGTAATTCCACCAATAGCGAGGTACTCATGTTAGTATTCTATCACTTTTCACGACCTAGGGAAATGTCGTTAGTTACTGCGAGAAACTAACATCCGTTATTTTTCATTCACTTATTTATTCATTATAGCCCTTCACAAGTACACAGCTGAATATAGGCCAAGGAATGCCACGAAGAACGGTCCTGAGCCACCTGCAACCATCGACTTTCTGCATGTCCTACCAGGTCGTCACTCCATCTAGCAGGGGTCACTCTACACTTAGTCTACCGATACTAGGTTGCCAGAAAAACCTTCCAAAGAAACCCCGAGCATAACTTTCTCTCTAAATAGGTTGCTGAGCGCCCTTACGCTTCTTCATATGGCCAGCAGGGAAGGACCAAGTCTCAGATCCAAAAATCATCACTGGCAACACGCACTGGTAGTACAATCTTGTTTTCAGGTTTTGAGGTAGACCTGACGAGAAAACGTGTCGTAATATTCCGAACGCTACCGAGCCGAATTGAATCTATCGATTGTCATCTCATTCCAAGTTTGACTGATATATAGACGGACCATCTGTCCTAGGTAAACATACTCGTCAACAGCTTCCAGCGTAGTGCTCCCAATACTTACCGGAATAGGTATGACATGTAGACGTTACATATGATCTTTGTTTTATCAATGTTCATTTTAAGACCTATCCGTAGAAAGACACTATTGAGGTCGTTGAGCATAGTACATCCTCCAGCAATTCTGTCATGAGGACGACTACAACGTCGGCAAATCGAAAATCAGTGATGTACTCGCCACTGATGTTAATAACGTATCCTTTTTAGTACAATAGCTTAAAAACGTCACTCTCTGCAGTTGGATAGGTTTCGTACTCCGGTTCTGTACTCGGATAACCATCTTAGCCCCACTGTACAAACACTTCAATATACCAACTTGGCACCACCGAAAAAACTGTAGTACCGCTAAAATTTCGAAAGAATAAAAGACTTAATCATAACTAAATCATAGTCTAGATGTGCAAGACAAAGTGGCAGATTGTACTCTTCAGTCTTATATACAATTTGCCGAAGGGTATGTTTGTGGTTGGTACTAAAGCCTTTTCGGAAACCGGCATTTTCGGGGGAGCTGGAAGTTGTTGAGTCTGCGAGACGACTCGTAATGACTCTCGAAAATAGCACGTAGACGCGACTCAGGAGGGAAATCGGTCAGTAATAGAGCGTTGTCGTCTTTCTTAAAGAACAAGATCAGCATTTCTGCTTCACGCCTCCGGAGTAGTGCCATCATGGAGGATGGGATTGAAGAGCTTCTGAAGGACTTTCAGTACTGGTTCTCCACCCGATTTTTCAGGTTTTGAAATTAAGATAGTGTCAGATAAGACTTGCTCTTGGGTCGTGACTCACTTTTGCGTGTGGCTCCAACGATGACGTGTAGAGCTGCCCTTAGAACCTCTCAATCTCACTCAAAACATCAGGTATCCCAGAAACAATGCTACCACATTCAGTCTTCAGCTTTGACATTTGACTCTTTTTAGCAGACAGACCTCTAGGAAACGAAAGACTTTGGAGCCTTGGTTCCAATCGATCTTAAGAGTTATTTGTAAAACAAGACAAAAGATGAAAACAGTAATGACAAACCCGACTGCTTAAAAGAGTTTACTTAAAAGAGAAAAGTTTTAGAGCCTACGTCACTTATACAATTAGACGATTCTAATGACACATACATGTTAAGATTTATCAAGCCATTTAAGCTACAGAGAGCGCCAAAGAAATTGACGTAGGTACATGCATACGTACATACACTTGAAAAAGTAATACCCTTCTTTCTGGGGCAGTCGAGTAAAAGGTAAGTCACAACCTTTATATACATTCCACTGAGCAATATCCACCTCTCATTTCTGAGAGGGTTATATATCAATTACTCCGCTGCACTGCCCCAGTGTTGGCAGACTTCACAGTCCTATAAAAATATTTTTTTTTGTATAGGAGAGGGGGCAAACGAGCATACGGCTCACCTGATGGTAAGTGATTACCGCCGCCCATGAGCAACTGCAACACCAGGGGAATTGCAGATGCGTTGCCGGCCTTTTTAAAAGGAGTAGGCTCTTTTCTTGAAGGTCCCTAAGTCGTATCGGTCCGGAAAAGTCTCTGGTGGTAGTCGCCTCCACAAGGAAGTTGTGCGAGGAAGAAAACTTCTTTCAATCGCACGGTGGTGGACCGCCAGTCATCCAGATGGTATGGATGTTAGGTATTGCGAGTTTTGTTGCGATGTGCGATGTTGAAATTGTGCGGCTGGAATTAGTCCGAAAAATTCCTCAGAGCATTCCCCGTGATAGATGCGATAGTCAGTTAAGCCGATCGGAAAGAGCTCGATCGCCGACGATTCGAACAGCTCTGCGCTGGATGCGATCAAATGGAAGGAGCTGGCACTGGGGATCCCCGGCCCAGAGATGGGAACAGTATTTCATGTGCGGCCGAACCTACGTCTTGTAAAGTTGCAGGCGGTGAGCCGGCATGAAATTTTGTCCTGCTGTGCTGAAAACGCCAAGCTTTATAGAGGCCAACTTGGCCTTCTCTTCCAAGTGACCACGAAACTGCACGTCACTCGATATGTCGACGCTGAGGATTCCAATACTGGCTGAGGCAACAAGGCCTTGAAACTGAGGAGATACGACGAAGGGGTTTGTTTTTGCGGTAAACGCGCAAAATTGTGTCTTCTGGGAATTAAACTGGAATAGATTTAGTCGCCTCCAGTCCGAGACTTTGTTTCGAACAAAGTTTCGACTTCAGACACAACTTTGTTCTGGTACTCTGCGACGTTTTCCCGAGAAATATTGGCACGGCCGGTGTATAAAGCATCACCGGTGCTGTCGTCTGCATAGCAATGAATGTTGCGGGTTTGCAACATGTCATTAATATGCAGGAGAAACAGCGTTGGTGATAGCACGCAGCCTTGTGGAACACCAGCGTTAATGGGCTTGTAATCGGAGCATGCACCGTGTACTACGACCTTGATGCTCCGATCAGCAAGAAAGCTGGTGATCCAATTGCATCATTTCTCGGTAAGCCCATAGGAAGGGAGCTTCGAAAGAAGCGCTTTGTGCCAAATCCGATCGAAGGCCTTCGCAATGTCCAAACTAACGGCCAACGCATCCCCCTTGGACTCTACTGCCTCCGCCCATTTATGAGTTAGGTAACCCAGAAGATCACCAGCCGAGCGACCGCAACGGAAACCGTACTGGCGGTCACTAATTAGCTGGTGATCTTCAAGGTACCGCATGAGCTGGCTGTTAATAATGGATTCCATTATTTCAGAGAACAAGGAGGTAATGGCAATAGGCTTATGGTTGGACGGATCAGAGCGGTTACCATTTTTAGGGATCGGGTGCACCAGGGCAGTCTTCCATGATTTCGGGACTACGCCGAGGGAGTAGGAGTACCGGAAAAGACGCGTTAAAACGGTGCCAACTCCGGAGCACACGTCATCAGCACAATAGGAGGGACGCCATCGGGCCCACTCGACTTGTTGACGTCCAGGGAAAGGAGTGCTCTGCGCACTAAGCGTTGGGTAAACAGAAATTCTGCATGGAGCACTCACTCCGCGGGATGATCGGCGATGTGTTCCCCCCGTCATCAAGAGTCGAGTTGGACGCAAAGAAAGAGCCTAGGAGATCGGCTTTGTCCTTCGCGGCATGGGCCAGTGAGTCGTCCTCCCTGTGCAGAGATGGGAGAGATGGCTGACAGAAGTTCCCTTGGATAGCCTTGGCGAGAGACTAGAATGCACGTGTTCTCGAAGGTAGACGAACTAGTTTCTCAACAATTCTGCCGATGTGCTCTGACTTTGCCTTATATTTTATTTCTCACACATTTCCTTACGATGTTTTCTTTACCGTCGAGCAATTGTAAAAACAGCAATTAATATCTGGATTAATTGGTGTCAGCTAGGATCAAACTCGATTTGCCTGTGTACTCCAAAATTTACGATGACGGCTCGAGGTCACTGATCTGCCAGGGAGTTGTTGATTACGTAAAATTTTGTGCCATCCAACAGCATAGAAATCTTCCTTATGAACTTTAAAATCCACTGCTAGGTAGAGGTCTCTCAAAGAACACGGCATATAACATATGTATTCCCTAATAACTTGAGAAATTGAGTGTGCGAGTGACACTCATCACGCTGGGAAAGCGGTTTGATGAGCGTATAGCCGCTACCCTTGGTGATGCTGCTCTTCGTCACTAGTCTGGCATTTAAGTCTAGCGTATTTTTTATTTCCACCAGGGTACCTTCCCCGATGGCCATTTATTAGCTAATGTTTCACAAAATCACATGCAATTTTTTTGTCACAAATTGAAACCATGGACGAGAGGAGGCACCGAAACTGCGATTGGTCTTGCGGTTCTTGCACTGTGTTCCCCAATTAGTGATACTGTAAGGGCAATCTCTTGACTACGCAAAAATTACAACCGTCGAAATGTATACGTACTACGTGAACATATTTCCCATTATTTTTAAATAACCGTCGTGAGTTTCGTTATTATTAAAATTGTTGACTCAAGCACATTCGGACTGATTTTCCACTATCATACGGTTGCCAAAACTTCATCGTAATGGGTGCATACAGGTATAGAAAAAACTCGGGCTAAGAATTCGTATAGTTTCCATTTTAGACGTACATTTTCATCAACCCAATCCCGCATACACCTACAATAAATGTATAAATTTTATCCTGAATTAACATTCAAAATGGAGATGAGTTGTACGTTGCAACCAGTAAAGAGGGTGTCCGGGTGCTACTTTACGCTAGCATTTCGTGAGAGCGTAGTTCATCCCCAGGCCCACACATTGGTGAATGAATGAATGAATATACTTTATTGTACACCACAAACAAATTTACAAAGAACATAACAGAGAGCAGATTACATGTACAATTTGGCGGCCTTATCGCTACATAGCGATCTCTTCCAGGCAACCAAAGGTGTAAAGGATTAAAACAGTGAATACTAGGTAGGTGGTGCAATATAAATATACCTAATATAATATCAATACATGCAATAAAATAACTTAAATAACTAATACATTAAAAAATATGATACACATATACATACGTATATACATAAACACACACACACATATACATATACATATCCATACATATACATACATACATATACACATATATACATACATATACATATACATACATATATCCTCAAATATATACCACTAACAGTAACATAAACAAATAAATACAAAACTACATAATCACATAATTTATCCTAATGATTTTCAAACGATTGAGACAAGTAATGCTCTTTAAGAAGTCGCTTAAAGACTACAATAGTCTGAGCTTCGCGTATATACAAAGGTAGGGCATTCCAGAGCTTAATAGACTGTACAGTAAAAGATTTATTAAAGAAAGATGTATTGTGAGTTGGTACCCTTAAAATGAGTTTTCTTGAAGAGCGTAAAGGTTCCCTTGGAAGCCCAACAAAACTAAACTTCTTAAAATAAGGAGGAGCAGAAGGGTGAAATAAGACACAGTACAGAATAGAAAGAATATGCATGTTCCGGCGAAATTGGATAGGTAACCACTTGAGACGTGAGCGAAATTGGGAATTGTGGTCAAATTTGCGCAATCCAAATATGAACCGAATACTAGTATTTTGAAGTCTCTCAAGCTTAGTTAGCTGGTCTTTAGTTATGTCTACATAGCTTGCGTCAGCATAGTCGAGAATCGGAAGGAGAAGAGACTGTGCGAGCATAATTTTTGTAGGAATGGGAAGAAATGATCGAAGGCGACGCAGTGAACTAAGAGCGACAAAGGTTTTCTTACTTACCTCATTCAGTTGGCATTTCCAATTTAAGGAACTATCAAGGTAAACACCAAGATTTTTGACATTGTCGAAGTAAGGGATCACAACCCCATCGAATACAACAGGTGGTATGGAGAACCAGTCAATTCTTGAGATAAAGCTCTGACTACCAAAAATGATAGCCTGTGACTTTTTAGGATTGACATTTAGGCCATATGATTGACTCCACTCATGAATCATATTTAAGTCATTGTTTAATGTAGCGATTGCATTCGGCAAATTCTCAAGAGTTGACTGGGTGTAAATCTGGACATCATCCGCATACATGTGGTAGAAAGAAGAAATTTTATGAGTAATTGAATTAATGAAAATGGAAAAGAGTAAAGGTGACAACACGCCACCCTGCGGCACGCCTGCAGTAATATAATATTAAATTAATATAATAATAACCAAGATGAGTGAGTTTCATCAACATGAATACACTGTCAACGGCCACAGAGATAACTTTGAAACCAGTCAATTACTGATGGAGATATGTTAAGGGAATACAACTGACTCAACAGTATATCGAAATCAACAATATTGAACGCATTACTGAAATCTAGCAAGGTCATGACTGTGAGTTGTTTATTATTCATACCCCACCGTATGTCATCAGTAACTTTAATTAAGGCAGTAGCCGTACTATGACCAGGACAGAAACCGGATTGTAAAGAATTCAACAAATTGTGCTTATTAAGGAAAAGTGTCAGCTGTTGGCAAATAAGTTTTTCAAGGACTTTAGAAAGGAAAGGTAAAATCGAAATGGGACGGAAATCAGTGAGGTTGACGGGATTAGATTTCTTCGGAAGGGGTATAACATAAGCACTCTTCCAGGCTTGAGGGAATTTAGAGGAAGACGCACATGCGTTAAGCAAATGAGTGATAATGGGAGTGATAACATAAAGGAGAGGAACGATCATATTACGGCTAATGCTGTCGTTACCGACAGCATTTGAGGAGATGGATAATATGATTTTCTTAACATCACATACAGTAAATTGACTAAAAACGAACGGAGAATAATTAGGAGTCGGACTTACAGAAAGAGAACGAAGTGTTACCTAGTTACGCCGGGTTGACACGATAACAGTCAGCTCGGACCGAGTCACGTCAGAGTACACTCGTACGAGTCAGCGTCATACGAGTGTACTCCTATAGTGGTTTACACGATCATAGTGTACTCTTATCAAAGTTCATTCAATTTTGTGTCAACTCACGGTACACACTGATCTTCTCAACATGGAACAGACTGATCTGCTGTTGCAAGATGTCGCAGTTGTTGCAGATATACTAATAAAAGAGTTGAACCATATAAGCAAAAAAACAAGCAATGTAAGAAGAAAAAAGGAACGCAAGAAGAGATCGATTTGGACCCGCAAATGGATATTAAGGCGTGAAAAGCTGGGAGCATCAGATAATTTTCTCCAAGAAGTACGCATGGAAGACAAGGCCACTTACAAGAATCATTTGAGGCTGAACGGTGAACAATTTGACTATCTGTTACAAAAAGTAACGTCGAAAATACAGAGAGCTGATACAGTCATGAGAGCTGCTCTACCTGCCAAAATAAAGCTACAAATAGCTATGCGCTATTTAGCAACTGGAGATATTTTTCAAAGTTTGGAAAGTTCTTTTCGAGTTCCAAAGAGCACCATATCCAAGTTTCTGCCAGAAGTGATGCAATATATGAAGGGTTGGAGGAGTACATAAAGGTCAGTAACAAGAAATAATAGTGAAATTTTTATTTAATATCAAGCTACCTACAGTTAAAGTAATCTTTATTATTGTTTAGCAAAATAGCGATAATTCTCATTATTTTGAATCCCACCAATGCTTCGAATTGCTTCTTGTAATTGATCATCTACTACAAATTCTGGTGATGTTTCTTGGCTTGTTGCATCACGTTGGATCTGAACTTCTATGCCTTCCTCTTGTAATGCATCATTTTCTAGAACGAGTTGTGATGATTCTTGCCTTGTTGCGTCACGTTCAATATGAATCTGAGATTCAAGATTAATGAATAAATGTTCTGGTATTTCAAATGTATATTCATTCGATGTCGTAGAATTGCTTTCCAATTGCATTCGATTTATTCCTTTCCGTTTTACTATTTCTATTATTTCAAACTGAACATCTAGAGCATCTATTAGGGGCAATTGTCGGAGCTGGCTGGCGATATTTTTGGGGAAAAGGGAGAATTCATCTTCTATTTCTTTATGACACAGTACTTGGTCCTTGATACTATTAAGTGTTTCAATAGACTTCTCGATATTTTGAGGTACTAATGGTCGTTTAAGAGGTCGCTTCTTCTTGATAGTATTTTGTGGCTTAACGAATATTTCACTATTTAACTGCTGGGAAGATGATGGCGTTTGAAGATCTGCCGGTGGCGGAAGAGGTCCTGGTATGTCCGATGAAGGTTCGGCGAGAATATCTGGTGAAGGGGCGATGGGAATGTCTGGTAAAAGGGCGATTGGAATGTCTGGTGAAGGGGCGATTGGAATGTCTGGTGAAGGTGCGGCTGGAATGTCTGGTGAAGATGCGGCTGGAATGTCTGGTGAAGGTGCGGCTGGAACGTCTGGATCTGAAGAGCTGTTATCTGAATTCTCCTGTAACAAAACAATAATAGAAAATTAAAAATATGCCTTGTTTTTTTTTCAGATCCCAAAGACAACTGAAGAATGGACAAGTATTTCGAGAGTGTTTGATAACCATTGGAATTTTCCTGGATGTTGTGGAGCCTTAGATGGCAAGCACGTCAATATACAACAACCAATCGACAGTGGAAGTGACTTTTTTAATTATAAAGGTTACTTTAGTACTGTACTTTTGGCTCTGGTAGACGGCAACTACTGTTTTACATATATTGATGTGGGCAGCCAGGGTAGATTAAACGATGCTTCAATATTCAGTAATTCAATACTTAAAGAGAAATTGGAAGATGGGACTCTGAATTTTCTTTCTTGGGGTGTCATTTTAGGAGCTTTTCCACTGAAACAGTATTTGATGAAACCATATTCTCGAAGATTAACATTGACAGCCGAAGAGAAAACTTTTAACTACCGTCTTTCTCGTGCCAGAAGAATAGTAGAAAATGCATTTGGCATTATGGTGTCAAAATTTAGAATATACCGGACTCCAATATATTTGTGTCCATACAAAGTTGACAAAATTGTCAAAGCAACATGTGCACTTCACAACTGGCTCATGAAGACAGCCATGCACTATTATGCACCAGTGGGAACAATGGACACAGATGACAGACCTGGTTCGTGGAGACAGGAACCTTGTTCAAATTATATTGCACATGTTGTGAATCAAGGTAGTAATCATCTCGGTAGGCAGAGCAAAGAAGAATAAATTATAAAAATTATTTCATTGGAGAATGCTCCGTTCCATGGCAAAGTAGCAGAATATTTTAAGAATATCCGTGTTCTTATATTTTAACGTGACATTATAAAACAGCTAATAAATTAAATACAAATGTTTATTGTTATATTATAATAAATAAACTTACCACATTCTGATGTTTTCCTGCTTTTTATGACCCCAGATAAAAATCTGTCGGCGATTTCGTACCAAGGCAAAGAAGGAACATACACATCATTAGCTCCTGATCCGGTCCCGGTAGATTTTTTAATTTTTACTTTTTCCTGGGTGTATGTGCTACGAATGTTATTTATTTCGTGTTCACCTCTTGAATTGTAACCTCCATATTGAGGTTATATATAATGCGCTGAATAGCGGCATTCCGAGCATCTTTGTTTTTATAGTCTTTGAGACGCACGTTCCACAACACTTGTTCTTCTTCATACAGTTCCACGAAACTTACAGTATCACGTTCCGTCCACTTTTTCCTTGACGCCGCCATTTTTAATTAAAATGATCCGAGCTGAGATCCGAGTGAATGGGGAAAATAGAGCATCATCCGATTCCACTCGGATTAGATGCCCCGTCCGAGTACGCTCGGATTACATGTTTACACGATACGAGTAACGTCCGAGTAGTAATCCGAGTGCACTCGGTCCGAGCCAACTCTTATCGTGTCATCCCGGCTTTAGCAGTCTTTGAGAAAAACGTTTGCAACAGACACTGAAGTGATTCCATGAGCGTTTTGGAACACTCATATTGTTGGTAAACAGTTGTCCAGTTAAGATGTGAAAAGAAAAGTAAGGAAATATTACAATTCCATAATTGCTCCACAAAAACTAACGTACATGCCATGGAATAAGGAATTTACATTTAAATTATTACTATTCTCAATCAGGCTTGATGGATTCCATGACCGAAGAACTGAGATTGAGCACATGGACTAAAAATATCTACACGACATCCGTATACCTGGCAACGATGTCGACAGGCCTCTACCAACCTTCGTCCAATCGCTTCACCTCTTGGTACTCCGAAATCACGCCAAAAGAAGCCGCTAGGATAATAATAGCTGGTAAAGTTATCCAAAACATTTTCAATACATTTTTTTATAAAAAATAAGTGGCAAACGAACATACAGTCCAAGTGGCTATTGCAGTTTGCAGCCCATGGATACCTGCTAACTAAGCTAACTTTAAACAGTGAAAGTTACAGATACTTTGTCATTTCTACAAAACTAAGATGGAATGCCTAACAGTCTGTAAGTATACTGGCACTCTTTATATACTCTTCAGACCGGGACACAGCAGTGCATGCTCTGCTGCTGGTAAGAGGGGAGACTACAAGGCAGAAAAGAAATCCCATTGCATAGAATGTATTAAGAAAATATTTCGCGGTTTCGACTTTTGTGAGCAGATTAAGGGACCGGCTGGATTAGCGGATAGTTTTCTAGTATCTAATGTCTGCCGCAGAAAAAGTCCTGGATTGAAATCGATTAACAAATTAAGTGGACAGCACAGTAGAATATTGAGATCCAGAGTCCAGGTTTCATCCTAAAAATAATAATAATAAAAATAATGTCCTCCAGACCGAATTTCGGCCACGGTGGCCTGCCTCAACGGAGACTAGCCATCGGCGCAGGACAGGATTATAGTGCCCAAGTGTATGCGCAAGCACAGGTGAACTCTCTATTCCCTCACTCTCATAATCCGATGGGACGGTAAACCGACACGACCGGAGAGAGATCAGGCGCAGGACCAACGGCTTTACGTGCTTTCCGAGGTCGGGGGGTGAGACACCACCAACTTCCTGACTCCGGGCAACTACTGAGAATTTCTTGACGAAAAAACTCTATATTTAATTTTTGGCCCGACCCGGGATTCAAACCCAGGACCTCATGATCAGCAGTCGCACTACTACAACCACTAGACCAACGAGGCAGTCATTCTAAAAATAATATTTGTGCTAAAACAATGATAAATATTGGTAATACATAAAAATTAAATTTAATGTCAAAGTGAAAATGATAGAATGTCGACGCGACAAGATTGCTAATTAATTTTGTAATTTTGTATCCGTGGGTGTCGTAAAGACGCATTTTTCTGACAACAAATCAAAATAATGAAGAATATTGCGATTGGCTAAACCGCTTGCCAAGCATGGCAACTATATCAAATAATCTCCTTGTGAGGCAATCTATAGATGAGCAGCGGACTAGGGAAGGTGCGTATTTACGCGACCAGGTATTTATAGCAAGTATTTACTTGCAAGTACGCCGACTAAGTGCCGACCTGAAATAATAGCAAATCTTCAAAGTATTTGAATATTTTCGCTCTTTCGAAACTGGACGCGATTCTGCTCCTTATTTATGTTATGTTACGGATCAATATTCTATCAAGGTATATTTACCTTAGAGGATTGGAAGTATTTTTTTTTTTTGTAATCGCGATTCTGCTTCTTATTTATATTAATTACATTACGGATCAATGTTCTATGCAAGTCTTTTTCTTCCAACCAGGCTTGAAAGTTTACTATTTTACCGTATGCGATTGCACTCTTTATTTATATGATCTTACGGATTAATTTTAGATGCAGAAATAAAATACTTAAAAGTATCTCGAGCCCTGGTTTTTGGCGCTGATATTTGAGTGGACGCTACTTGGAAACCCTGGTACTAGATTTTGCAAGCACGACCCATGGCTACAGTGGACTGTTGATAGATAAGCTGTCGTGAATGAATGGAGATCCGTAAATTTAGTTTTATTCAAAGTATACCATATTCTTTTTTGCAGGAATTCGGAAGAATCACAAGGAGATCAGCATACCCCCTTTCATGAAATGGTTGATAGCCATTAACAATGTGTTGCCTTACCGGATAAGAATAATTTTCACCGACTTTTTTAATTTCGGCCACAGAGGATGGTTCAGCTTCTGTTGAACCTAGTTGCTGAAGTCAGTAAATTTAGTTTTCACAGCCTAATCGGATAACTGACTAGCCTTTAAGAATATTAAACTATTTGTGTTTGTTTAACTTATTTAAAAGTATATCACTAATAATTTTACAGAAACATTTAATAAAATTTTAGTCATAAAATATGCATATTTATCAATAATAAAGAAAAGACCGCCGTAATTGTCGTACCAGTCAGCTTGCACGTTTATAGAATTAATTATTATAAATCATTTTATGCGTTTTACTTATTATTTTGTTACAGACGTATGTAAATTGTTTTAAACTGAAATGGACATCATTTTTAATTGTGTTTTGAAGAAATATTGTGTAATTGTAACAAATAAAATAATTTATATAGCAATGTTTTATTATTTCTTAATAGGTATATCAAAACAACACAAAGTTCGGACAAAGAGAACTTATACACATATATGGCTGTTCAATTTATATTTATTAATAGTCTGACCACACTTATCGCACATAACAATTTCACTGTGTTCGGATAGATGCTCGTCTCTTGACTTCGCATCAGGGAACTGTCGACAGCAAAAGGTACATTGCAGTTCAGCCGAGTTTACATGCAGTAAAGAGTGACGCATTAACGTGGCTTTGGTGGCAAAACTGTGGCCGCACGACTCACACAAATGACGGCTTAGTACTTGTTTATTTGTGTGCTTTTGAACATGCATATAGATTTCTTTACGACTTTTGGATGTTTCATTGCAAATCTTACATCTGAAAATAAAGAGTGGAATATAACAACTTCTCATGGTCGATAGTATCACTGTATGTGTCGGCGTAAAAGAAAGCATTAAATTCGTGGTGAAAAATGTGGTGTAAATAACATGTGACACTGAAGGTTCTAGAAAATTAAAGACGGACCAAATGTTAAATATTTGTAATAATTTTTATTTTGCAAGTAGCCTTCATGTCTGCTTAAGCATTGTTGTATTTGATGGAATCAATGGGTAAAGAAGTAGACCTTCTAGGGTTCTCGTCTATGGCCTTACTCACACAATCACTGCATCTTTATGGTTTGTAAAGCGAACACTCAATCTTTGCCTTTTACTTTTGAGTATAAATTGACAGCGTTTAGGGCCGGGATGGCATCAGAGGTGCCTGAACCTGAACTAAATAAATGTGACACTAGAGAGATTACCAATATATTTGTACCATTTTTTGTAGGTACCTACTATAGCATTGTGTGATACCCGCGCGATTAAGTTTCCAATAGAACTCTAACCGCAAAAAATCGTCGAAGCTGGAGCCAAGAAGACTGGTTTAATTTTCACTCAAAGTGTAAGTATAGCTGTTTAGCGAGGTCAACGACTACACAGCCCGAATAGACGCCTAATGTATGTACTTCTGCATCCAAATCTGTCTGTCAAAACTCGGAGGTAAGCGGTACGGGGGAGGCGGGTTGAAATGCACCCTAATTGGTTAAAATCAAGGTTGCGACACTTGCTAATAAGCATATCGTGATGGAAACTTTAACTAATAAATTTGGTATTTCTTCTACTTAATCAGTACCAGAATTATATTCTACTATAAATTAGAAAGAAAGAGAAGAAAGAAGAAAGAAAGATTTATTGCAGCACGCCACAAACATCAGTAGGCACTTAAATTTTGACACATCAATTATAAACATTATAACAAACAAAAACAAAAATAGGAAACAAAACAACAATTTGACGGGTAAAACAATTTAAAAGTATTAATACTTATAGATTATAATTTAAAAAAAAATAGAAAGACAAAAAGAATCGTTTCTCATATTGTACGAGTATGTTGTGGCGCGTCATACAAACGGACCTCACTCAGCTTATGCTGTCGCCGGAGCAACAGCGCTGGTTTTCAGTGGGCCCGAACGGATAATAACGTACATACAATTAGTACAAAAAAAACAAAAGAAGTTTTATTTAAGTAGCTATAGTATTTAGTAAAATACCTATAATTTTTTGTTTTAAGGAATATTTTTCATTAAAACAAGCTTTCTTTTAAGGATGGGCCGAATATGGATTTCACCGAATACGAATATTCGGCCGAATGTTCGGTAAAACTTTTATCGAACCGAATATTCGGCCGAACATTATTCGGCAGGATAACCTCGGGACCCAACCAATTTATGTCGAAACTTGTTACCATAAAGCGCGCGGGATTAGCGCCGGACGCTGCCTTTCACTCCCCGCCACACCTGACAGTTATTGCATCATCTATAGTTCGGCCGTTCAGAGAATGCGTTCCTGACAAGTCGCGACTGAACTGACGTAACTTTGTAATGGCGTTGCAGTTACGATAAAAATATTTTTGCTGGTTGTTTACCGTTTTAACAATTGATGAGCATTAAAACAACATTATTATATCAATAATCAATGAATGTTATAATTTTGTGCCAAACTGAGTGTCAAATAATTTGGTAAACAATATTTTTCTAAATCTATACTGCGCTATTACAAGGTTATGTAGGTGGCAATAACAGTATCGTAATCTGTTCTTATACAGTTATACTTTATAAAATAATACGTTTTGTTTTTCTTTTTAAGAATTTGAAAATAATGGACTATAAGATAACTTTTATTAAATATAAAAATAAAACTACGACCAAACCGAACGCGCGAAATAAAGTAACATTTTTATATTTAGGTTGAAAATGGTAACCCCAAATGGCGTTATGGGCCGCCATTTTGTGACGCTAAAACAGTCGTCTGTTGTCGTTTCGTGCGCATAGACCACAGTCTTCCAGTGTTTTCGATCTGTTTTTAGTTGATTACCCGGCTTTCGTTTAATGGACTGTTTCTGCTTTTCAAACTGACATCGGCGCTAAATCGGACTTCGATTGTGTTTTGTATTGCGTTCTTTTACTTTTGGTGCATAATAATGCCTAAACGTGGACAAACATTGAAAAGTGGAGCCCGTGAGTTAATCATCAAGCTCCAAAATTACTTTGAGCGCGAGCGGCAAAATGGCGGACCCCTGTTGCCTGTCGAACAAGTACAAGAACGCGTCTCTCAGGCGCTTGGAGTTAGCAAACGAACGATAACAAATATTAATAAAGTAAAGTTCGGCTCTACTGGCACGGAAGATAATATTTTACGTACTCCGAAGAAGAAACGTAGAACTAAACCCGTGACAGATATTGACTCCTTTGACGCCGATGCAATCAGAAATCATATATATGGTTACTATTCCAGAAATGAATATCTCAACAGGAAGAAGCTTTTGGCATCGTTAAGAGATGCTGGACTGTTTAGCGGGGGTAAAACTGCTTTAAACAAAATCTTAAAAGATATTGGTTTTTCGTATAAAAAACAGACAAAAGAAAAATTTTATTAGAACGATACGACATAATTTTAAAACGGATAAGTTTTTTGAGAGAAGCAAAAAATATTGATAACTGGGATAATGTCGTGTTCATTGACGAGACATGGCTGAACGCCAATCACACGGTTTCCCGTTCTTGGACGGATGATACACAAGCGTCGACGTCGAAAGTACCAATCGGTAAGGGGGCCCGTCTGATAATATGCCACGCAGGTTCTGCAAAATACGGCTTTGTGGAGAACGCGTTACTGGCATTTCAATCAAAAACCACAAATGACTACCACGAGGAAATGAATGCCACTACATTTAAACAGTGGTTCAAGAACGTGCTTTTGCCCACCCTACCAGAGCCTTCTGTAATATTCATGGATAATGCCTCCTATCACTCGGTTCAAATACAGAAACCACCTACCCAAGCTAATAAAAAAGGAGAAATGGTGGTTGGTTACAAGCAAAAGGCATTGACGCAAATATGCAGATGCTAAAACCAAAGCTAATTAAATTAGTTAAAGAAAATAAAACGGCAAATGTGCGATACGAAATCAATGAACTGGCTCTGGAGTACGGTCATCGCGTTCTAAGAATTCCACCGTATCATTGCCAATATAACGCGATTGAGGTAATCTGGGCTCAAATAAAAGGTTACGCCACCCGCCACAATACTTCCCCGCCATTCAGCACGAAAAAGATGATGACCTTATTAAAAGAAGCCTGCGGGGAAGTCACAAGAGATGACTGGGCAAAGGTTGTTGAGAAGACTAAAAACCTGATTGTGGAACATTTTGATCGAGATATCAGGATTGATTCTGTTATTGATAATAATATAATTATACATGTAGGCGAAGATGATGATGAAGACACCACCTCCTCAAGCGAATCGGAGTCTGATTAATATTCTGTACGCACATTCAATTCAATGTACTTTATTGCATAGAAATACAGATTGTAACTTTGTAACAAAGAATAAATAAAACAATTTTATTATATTAATATTACCTTTTTGTGGTTTCCACTTAAATTACTAAAATATAAATTTTAAATGATTCCGCCAATTTAAAACGAAAATAATCTTAAAAATAACGCGGCGGTTAATTTTGGAGGAACGGTAACGAACTCAGTGTTATGTTGTGCCCATCACTAGTCGTGACTAACTGATAGGTGTCAGGAACGCATTCTCTGAACGGCCGAACTATAGTACTGAGCAAATTGCCGGCACATGCTTATGTTTTGACTATTCTTGTGATAAAAAAAGTATTTCGTTGTTTTATTCTTAGTGAAAATTGATAATTATATGATAAAAATGAGCGGCAGGAGATTTACTATTTGGACTTATTTTAGGGAAACTGACGACCAAAGTAAAATGAAATGTACTAATGTAATGTAATGTTTCTTTGTTTGATTCAAAAAATATTTTATTAATTTTCTATTTGCTATAATCGGAAACAAATCTACAGTGCCTCAAAAACATTAATGTATAGATTTATGCATTTGAGGCACTCCAGAGTAAGTAGATTTAACCCATAAATAAAATATACTTTTAAACAGTATAAGACATCGCATTACTCAATTCGTACATTTCAATACATTGGATACTATGAAAACGAATGTTCGGTGATTTAGCCGAATATTCGGTAAAGCTTCCGAATATGCCGAATACCGAATATAAAACAAATATTCGGCCCATCTCTACTTTATTTACAATACTGAAATAATAATAGAATACTATTAAAATAAAATAGCAACAGTTATTTAAAGTTAAACTGTCAAGTTCACTTCCGTTTCCTACTTGTCTTGACATGGCGTCTTAGCAGTAAAGAGAGCGGAGTGCCGTCTATTAAAAATTATATCAATTTTATTATAGATTTTTTAAAGAAGTTTTGAATAATTTGATTTAATTATTAAATCAATTAATTGAAATATGGATTAACTTACATTCACTAAAAAAATTCAGCTTACACCTATGTCGCTTATAGTATAAGTCTGTAAAACATTCACGATAACATGCATAATATTTACGTGTACCAATATTATAGTTTAACTGGTACAGCACTAGTTACACGTGCCATTAATTAAAGAAAAGTATAGCAATAATAAAATGCATTGAAAAGAAAGGGATGCATAGTCCGAAAATATCCGAAGATGTCGGAATAAACCAACGGGAGTTGCTTGTGACAAATATAGATATTCTCTGATTTAATTTTAATTAATGAATTTTGAAATTAAAATTCACTTATCTATCAAAAGTGATGCCAATTTTTGGAAATTACACATTTGGCTACTATTTTCGCACTATTTTATTGTACAGTGAACCATATTGCGCGTCTGTTGTATTTTATTTTGTCGAAAATTCACGAGTCACATGCAAGATGTTCACTGGTCAGGGAAGTGGTCGCTACTAAACTAGATCGTGCGATCGTTTTCTTAAGACGTATTTAGCGGGCTACATACGACACGATATCGGTGGCGATCTAGGGTGGAGTAGTGGGGATGCCTCTTAGATTGCCTCTAAATCGTGTCGTATGTAGGGCCATCCTAAGTCGTGGCCGATATCGCCTCCTTAATCGGCTGGCAGGAGCAAAAATGCTTCCTAGATCAGCCGATGCTTCCTAGATCGGGGCACCGCCCCCTCCTTACTGCGTGTGTGTAGGCGCATCGGCCCGATTTCTTTTGGCAGTCGCTGCCGGCAACCCTCGCGGAAGGAAGTTAACAAAACAGTGATACTGAATGACCTTTTTTATATAACAAAATTTTTACATTTTAATCATATAAACGGAGTAGAAGCCTATGGCACTGATATTTTACAAAAAAACCAAAAAAAGTGAATAAAATAAATAAATTAATTGAAATTTTATCGAAATTCAAATCATATCCACCCTAGCCTGTGACCCTGCGAAGTGACATGGTCAAGAATGCCTACTAAACTAATTTTTTTATTGCCGTTCGTAAAGTAGAATGTATGATGTAAGTAAGGAGAAGATAAAGCCTCTCCTCAACAACTAACTCCTATTCCAACGCTATCAACACAAGACCGCACTCATATCTCTTACAACTCCACAAGACCACACTTCGATCTCTTACGTGCCTTCATCCTCTTATCAACAACTAACTTCTACTCCTTCACCATCTCCACATCAACAAACAAGTTATATAAAAGGGAGTATATCCGAAATTAAAGGTTTCTTTATGTTTAAAAAAAAGATATAAGCTATTTTATTTTCTGATAGTTTTACTCCATAAATAAAGATTACATAAAAAAAAAGTATACATATTATTATACAAAAGTATTTTATTTCCTTGTTTGTTGTGTGTAATACATAACCAGATTTTGACCAAAGCAGAAATGAACAAAGAGAAGAAATAACTAAATAGCATAGGTAGGAGAAATTGACGTTTTTATATAAGTGGCGAAATCATTTCTAGAAGGTTATAAAAACTGTCTTCATCCATCCGGAGAAAATTAATCACGTCCTTGGACTACATGCCATTTAGTACGTTTATGTGGCTTAATTTTTATCTCTTTTGGAGCCATTTTTTCACCCAGCAACTTCTCTTTTTCTATTTTCGAATAAATTAACCAAGATGGCTAATGCCAAACCAACACGGTGGTGTTTTAAGAGAGTCGGATGTATTTTGAAGAACTCTACCGCATATGCATTCCGCTCCAAGTCCGAACGCGTACTGCTAGGCAGGCCCGTGTGTAAGGTCTACCCCGATAAAAGCCCCGATTTCTTTCCACCCTAGATCGCCACCGATATTGTGTCGTATGTAGCCCGTTTTTGTCTTAAGAACGGCGTGTTGACAGAAAGTGTTTGCCTTGCATGACGCGTCTATTCGGGCTGTGTAGTCGTTGAGCGAGGTAAAGCAGCGCGTGCTCTTAGCACTATATCGCGGAGATAGTATAGCTATTTAGCAAGGCAAAGCAGCGCGTGTACTTAGCACTACATCGCGAATAAAGTATAGCTATTTAGCGAGGAAAAGCACCGCGTATTTTAGCGCTATATCGCAAAGAATAAGACTGTTTGATAATTTTAGTTTCTCTTGTTACTAATGTTGTATATTATTTTATGTAAAAAAAGTAACCGCCGTGTAGTTGCGGTGTAAGAGAATCCAATACCCCATAATATTGTTATCCAGTGGCTGTTGTAAAAGGCGACACAGGGAAATGAAACAATGGACGGACAACAGCATTTTCCGCTAACGCTAGCGATAACAACTCAAAGTAATTAAGTTAAGTTAAGTTACAGCCTATATACGTCCCACTGCTGGGCTCAGGCCTCTCCTCATTTCTGAGAGGGTTTAGGGCAAGGAAGTGTCCGCCGCGCTGCCCAAATGCGTGTTGACGAACTTCACATGTCTTCGAAATATTTTTTTGTTCTTATTCCTCAGACATGCAGGTTTCCTCACGATGTTTTCCTTCACCGCCGAGCACGTGGTAAATCAGCACTTAAAATTGCAATTAACAATTTCATTGGTGCCGGCGGGGATCGAACCCGGGTTACTCGCGTTGTTATATTTACAGCGAGCGTTAAACACTGAGCTACCACGGCTCTTGTACTACTCAAAGTAATAAAAAACTGCAATTGCCAACCCTCTGGGGGAGGCTTAATTTCAGCAGTGGAATATTGATAGGCTTTAATAAAAATGTATGAAATCACAAGGATTCCAGGTCGCGATTGTATAATGGATTAATCAATGTATATGTCGCAACCAACTAGCTTAATTAGCCGTTCAATCAACAGCCTAGCCTCTTTACTAAACAGCGCCGTTCAACTAGCAGCCTGAATGATATTCAGCCATTTGATCAAACAGCTAGGCAAATGACTTGGATTGATGATGTTTCATTACTTGCTTAGACTGTTTAAGCAAGTAATGAAACATCAAAACACTTCAATTTAGTTCCACTTTCTGCCACCTAGAAACCTGAAAGTATCCAAACTGTCAAAATGGCGTCGGCAAACAACAAATTTGATGTTTGCCAATTGTTTTCCAAAGTTTCATAAAAATTATGTGTAGGAGCCTGAATGATATTCAGCCGCTGTGTCTAATACAACATTGCAACTATCTTGTAATATCAGCAACAGTAGGTTAGGGTGCGGCCGGGGTGACCCTTGGGTATATTTATATAATATAACGTACAGTGCACAATTAGGCATGAAATGTTATATTAGACGAATCTGCTGAAACGCATGGGTTGAATAACATTGAGGCCACTAGTCGAACGATTCTGTTTCACCCTATCGTACAAATGGCCTAAGCATTAGCCAGCCAGTTTATTAAATGTTGTAACAAACACTACGGCTGAATATCATTTAGGCAGCTAGCTGAACGGCACTGTTTAGTAAAGAGGCTACGCTGTCGATTGAACTGCTAATTAATACCGTAGTCACTGCAACGTGGTAGTCATGCTGCAGTTGTATTAGTAGTATAGTTGTAGCACGAATAGGTCGGCTCGACCGGGGAAGGAGCACACTCTCACAGAATACCATCGTGAAATAGTAGCTTAATGCTGCTGTGTTTTGTATGGTGAGTGTAGTGAACCGAGACCCTCTTTACTGGAAACGAGGCATTCCATCTCAGTCCTCACGGGTGACAACGCATCTGCATTTTGATTTGTAATCGAGGATAGATGTAGATGTCTATGGGCCGCAGCAACCACTTACCAACAGGGGGACTGTGTGCTTGTTTGTCATCCTATCCTATATAAAAAAAAACTTACGAGTTAACACCAGGTAAATGCAAGATTGGTTTACTGACATTTTTGCATGAAAATGTTAATCATACAAATTTTGTAGGTATGAGGTGTCACATCTGGAACGAGTATATGGTTATTATGATTGGCCATAATAACCATTTCATATTTTTCCACACTTGACTACTTAAAAGAAATTTTTTAAAGCTAAAGTGACAAACAAACCTAATGTACATCTGATGGTAATTGGCTACTACATGGACAGTTGCAACCAACTCCAAACAAAGAAGGCTGCTGATGCAATGTGACCTCTGAGGACTAAATTGGAATGCCTCACAGGCGGTAATTAAACTGGCTCCTGTTACCCTTCAGACCAGGACACAGTGATGCATACCGGCTATTTGACGGCAGAAATATGTAAGAGGGCCTAGGCAGAAAAGGAATTCTGCCACCTAGTAAAGCTGATATACATGATATAGGCTTAACATTAATTTAACCAGTTACCGTGGCTACTTTAAATACCTTATGGGGATGGGAGTGATTGCTCTATGATGGGGGGGGGGGAGAAGTAATTGTGACCCCTTTACCGTCAGTCAGTTAATTTTTGTAGAAGTGCCAACTTCCTTTACTCTATATAAACATGTAACTACTTACTATAACACTGCTCTACTTTCTCTCACCTGAATGTTAAATTATTCTGCTTTTCATGTTCTTCCATTCGATGTTTAGATAATGCATCATCACCAATGAATGTATGCCCGCAGATGTCACACACCCTTTCCTCGGATCTAAGAATATGTTCTTTGGCATGTTTGTATAATTGAAATCTATCTTTATATAACATTCCACACTGCTTACAACGGTGATAAAAACCCATGGCTGCCACCTGATCATAATGGCAATTATTGTAGTGTTGCAACAGGAGTTCTTTGCTTGTAAATTGTTTTCCACAGTGACAACTCATTTGAGTCAGCAATCCATGAGTTATTGCATGTTGCTTCATTTTTTTCTTGGAATCAAATAGTAAATTACAGTGAATACATGTTCTAGAAGCACTATCACAGATACTTAAATGTTGGGATAGTTTTTGTACAGTATCAAACTTGGCTTTGCAAGCAAAGCATATAGTTTTGTCAGTATTTTTTGAACACATTATATTACATTCCGGATCAATCTCTTTTAAAAGTATCTCTTTAACAATTTCAATATCGGAATCTAAGACATCTATGTCCATTTTAACAGACTTTTTAGATTTAGGAGATTCTTTCTTTTTGGGGCTCACCTGTTTTATTTTAGAGGATGTTTTTGCAAATTCCATAATATTTTCGCTTGTTTTATCAAGCATATTGACTATAGAAGGTATGTCTTCCTTACCTAAATTGTTCAAGTACTCTTCAATATTTGAAGTACTATTTAAAAACTCTAAAAGTGAATCGGAGTTGTATTCTGAATCAGGCAAAGGTTGCACATATGTTTTAGCATCAGTTGATTTTTTCACCTTTTCTTGCATGGATGACTCTAACCAATCTTGTGAACACCGTGCGTTTTGTTGGAAATTATAAAATTCATTCAACTGGGATACACAGTTAACACAAATGTCTTTAGATAGATTATCGCTAAAGGAGATATTGATAGCAAGACAAGATTTTATGTGTAAAAGTATAGTAGAATCGTCTAAAATGGAAACATGTTTTGATTCAACATCTAAACAGATCCTACAACATATCTGAATGTTTTCCTCCATTTTTAATAAAGATACACCCAATATCGTATAAATGTAGAAAATATATAATCGTGTTCAAACAACTTAACAAATATCACACTTAAAGAATTTATTATAATTGATAAGTTTATTCTTTGTCTGTTTATCACAAAGAAATCTTCTATATTAGTTCTCTTAGCCAAATCTTCTCATTCTCTTCACTACATTTCATGGTTACTATACGAGTTTCCTTGATACTAATGCTTGTGGAGCACCTTATAAACACCTGAAACCAAAGAACACTATTATGCCTGAAACGCTAGTACTTGATATGAGATGATATGAGAGTATTATATAGTAAGTAGTTTATATTTCGTTCCTCTTGCCGGAAAATAACTGCCAACAAATAAGAATGTGATTTGTTTTGATAAAGTTGCTGTCACGGCATAGAATCTTAGAACAATAAAATTAGCCCTTATTTTCAACCATAGATTCAAACCGGTAGTTTGGAAAATGACATTTCTTATTACCACAGATTGAGTTCCAAACTTCCATAACTTTTATTCACAGAGAACAGAGACCATTAAGAGAATATAGTATAGGAACAGGATACTCCTTTTATTATTTTCAGTTTATACTTCCTATTTATAAAAAAGTACTCTGTGGTTTATACAAAGATACTCTGTATTCATTATTTCAAATTTTCAATTTCATTACAGTTTGTTGGAGTTTTGGAAATTTGGATTTGATCGAATGAAATTACTTTGAAGTGTTAAAATTCCATGCTTATCCTCTCACGTTAAAAATTGTGTACTCATCATGAAGAATGCTTGTTGTGTTTCGCATTGCAAAAGCAAGCGTCATAATGTAAATTACATTGTTTTCCAAAGACTGAGGTAAGACTCAAGTGTGTGGAAAAAATAAATTGTGAAAAAAGCAGCTCAATCCAGAAGAGCTACATAATTTTTTGTGTATCATAAGCACTTCGGGTCGAGATTTGTTACCGGTAGTTTGCTTCTTCACCATTTTGCCTTACCACCTTATCTACGGCTGACAAAATAAATACTGGAATACCTGCTCTGGAAATGGACAACTATGGTGATCTACTTATTTTTCTATTAGGGACATTTGCTTGATCTTGTATTTTTAGTATAATTCTGCATAACTCTCCATCACAATTGTAAGGCGCTTGCAGAATAATCTGTCAATATCACTGAAATAATTCTTTCCTAATTTTGATTATCTAACTAAATTCCATTATGTATTGATGTTTTTATAGGATGTGGCTGTGCCTCTCAAGTGAGAGTAGAACAGATTGCCTATGATATAATAAAATCAATCTTAAAATTGCAATATCAAAATTATTATTCAAAGGTTGCCATCTGCCAAGTTATTACATGTAACTGTCAGTCTGTTGAAGAGTATGTGGTATTGAACAATTCAGCCACAAATAACCTGTAATTTGTGAATAGATAATTGTCCACTAAAAAGAAACTACATAAGACCTATTCTTGGATTACATATTCCATCGAACAAGTTTGTTTTTTTAATGAAAAATGTGCCAACACCAAATCGTGACATATGCGGAATAGTTGAAAATTTCCAACATATTTTGATGGAATGTGTCTTGAATGAAGCCATGAGAATGTTTTGGTAGTGATAGGAATTTTCACTTTGGCACCTTGAACAGTATTTTGGCTTATCCAATGTCAAAGAAGGCTAAAATGCTGGTCAAGCTAGCAGACTTGTTTCTGTGTATGGAATAGGTGTGACTATTTATATTTCCACTTATTCCTCAGGTGTGAATATTTATAGTTGTGTTTATTGCACATAACCATTGTTACTTTAATAAATTTTGTATTTGATTGTAGTGATTAAGTAATTGTAGTCAGAATGGGATGATGTGGTAGCTTAGCGACTAAGTCCTTTATAACAATAAAAAAAGGTAAAATAATAACTGTTTGAAATGAATAGTCAGTGTTCTAAAATGTTTTTATTTATTTAACAACAACGGTTGTTGCTAAATAAATAGTCAAATTATTTATTTAGCAACAACCACTATAAGTGTCACCTAAGTCTTTGTATTATAGAAAGTAAAGCAGCTTTGTAATTTTCTGATATTTAAGTAAACAATTTTAAGACATTATCAACTAATATTTGTTAGTCTTATGTCAGTAACATCTTTAGATCAAGATTGTTTCCCTGAATAAGAAAGTATCTTATATAACTTATTTTTTTATAAAAAATTTAAATTTTTTGCAATTTTGGTCCAGTTTTCTAGATACATTAACTGCATAAATAACTTTGTAATCCCATATAAATAAAGGATTGCAAAATTACATTTGCAGTAAAACAATCAGTGTACCTGTATATGTATAATATAATGGAATAATAGGTGTAGATAGGTACTTTGTTGGTATTCAAGAAGTAAATGGTACCGGAAAGGAAAAAAGTAGGGCTATATACAAAAAGAAATGAGATGCCATCAAAAACATAACATGTAAAAGAAACCAAGTCTCGTAACTCAGTTCTTCTACCGTAAAAAGTTGTGTGAACCAAGTCGGTTAATTTATTCAGTCCTTACTTACTTAGGGTCCTTCTGTCTTAAGTTATTGCGTAATTAGCCAACCTAACATCTTATGTTGGCCATATCAATATTAAAAACCTTTTATGTTTTAAGTAAATAGATTGACTTGGCAATCGCACTAAACGATCTAATTTAATATCATTTGTATTATTTGCTAGATACATTGTGTTTTCATGCTCTTAAAAAAGCTATATAGTATACCACACAATGTGCTACCAAGTGACTATCATTTTGATGGCATAAAATTTAGGGAATGGGCCTGCTGTTCACTGTTAACTATAAAAAGTATACATATTTGTTTCCAGATATCAATGAACCACCATCCATCTATAAACATTTTAAAATGATAGGACAAACAGCAGTGTCTACATCATGACAAAACTGGTAAATATAATAATTGTAAAAATCTTCATAAATTCTTCACAAATAGTATATTATTATGTTCAGTTAATTACCTTATGTTTTTATTCCTAGGTTGCAAATCGGCAAGAATCGAAAAAATATTGCTCGCTAATATTTGGTGAAGTTTCGATAGAGCCAGGTCTTACATATGACAAATACAGTTACAATATCTGTGGACTTGTAGAGTTACTGTCTACTCAGAGTCACAGTTACTGTGACTATGTCGACCATGCCTTAATGTTCCTCATTTGAGGTACTATACACAAATGGCAACAGCCCATTGCCTTTTATTTTTGTCAGGAACTAGACCTGCACTTATATTAAAAAATATAGACGAGAATAATAACTGGATTAATTCCTGTGGCTCTGGTATCAGATCAGGGAACATCAATTCAGTCAGCCATTAATAAGTTAAAGAAAGACAAGAAAAAACACAAATATTGGCAAATGAAAATACTGGTAAGATAATTAAATGAAAGGTTTAAAACCACAAATTAAAGTTTTTAATAAAGTGCTAAAATTATTAGTAATGTATTTTTATACTTTTGATTGCCTATTAACCAAATTTTTGTTTTCATTTCAGATGACACAATCACAAGAAGTCAAAAGATTAATATCATATTTGATCCTCCTCACCTCATTAATGGTCTAAGAAATAATTTTCTTGACAAAAATATAGTATTGAATGGGAAAACATGAAAATGGGATGATATTGTAGGTGTTTATTTAACAGACTACAAACATGCAGAAATATATTTGCCGCATAAGTTAAATGATGTCATTCCTCAGAAAATAAAAAAATGAAGGTAAGCTTACCAATGTAAGAAAATAAATATATACATACAATAGAATACATCTTTGGAATAAAGCCAAATTAATTAATATTAACATTTGGTTTTTCAGGTGAGAAACTGCAGTTGTGTGTTAAGCAAAACTGTTGCAGGAGCCTTGGCATACACATCAAAATTTTGTAAGTCTGTTGATTTAAATATTATTTTATTTTAATTTACAATATGGGGAAATCTATCAAACTTTACCCAATTCCAACATCACCTGCATGAAGTGAGCCCTGCTTACTAATAAATAGTGCAATCTACTTCTGTAGGTAATCCATTTACATTTGCAGAACCAAAAATCTCACAACTAGATGATGGAAAGTGTATTGTGGCTATAGGCACATTGAAATATTGTATCATCTTCATTATTATAGCCTCTTCAAAAGTCCACTGCTGAACATAGGCCTCACCTGAAATGTCGTTATACACAGAACTCACCCATGTGCACACATCACATTCCGGCATGTCTTATCAGGTCATCACCTTAGTGGGGGGCCGTCTTACGATTTGCTTACAGATGTGCGCCTACCAATAGAAAAATATTCACTGATTTATAAAGTCCTAAATCCAGCAGAGGATGTAAATGTAGAAAGCTGATATTTATTTTACTTTTTTATACTTTTTATTGCATACAATATTATATTACATAAACACTGACAACAAACTATATACTAAATGTACAATTAGCGGGCCTTAATACTAAACAGAGATCTGTTCCAGGAAAAACTATAGAGAAGGAGATTATTTTTATATAAGGTTGCATGGATACTTATAAGCTGTATTATGTAGGATTGACTGCTTTGTTGGTCTAGTGGTTGTAGTAGTGTGACTGCTGATCATGAGGTCCTGGGATCGATCTCAGGTCGGGCCAAAAACCAATTATTGAGTTTTCTGTCAAGAAATCTTCAGTAGCTGCCTGGAGTCAAGAAGTTGGCGGTGTCTTACCACCATGCCTCGGAAAACTCGTAAAGGCGTTGATCCTGCGCCTGGTCTCTCTCCGGTCGTGTCAGTTTACTGTTCCGTCGGATTGAGAGTGAGGAAATAGTGAGTGCACCTGTACTTGCGCTTAGATTTAGGCAATATAATCCTATTATAAACCCTCAGTATTCTATAGGATGCATTTCGCAGTGTGCGTAGGAATTGCACGCTTTAATTCCTTCTTCTCCTTTTCACCATCGGACGACCAGGCGGTCGGCGGGTCTTTACCCCTTTGTTGT